CACCAGGATCCCTCGCCTAGAATGTCCTGCAGATTCAACATTCCAGGAGAGATGGGAGGAGGCCATGGCTCGTGCCCACATCTCCCATCTTCTCAAAATCTCTCAGAGAGAACACCCTGTTAGGGGGCCCAAGGGCTCAAGTTCCACGCCAGCATGCCCTTTAGAGGTCACCATGGCAAGGTCAGCAAACATCCTAGGATGAGACATTCGCATCTCCAGCTGGGAAAACAGAGTGGGTGGCAATGGACCAAGGTCTATGCTATTCCTACTGCCAAGGGAAGGGGGCAGCACTCTCCCCAGAGCCCAGGCCGAAGTCAAAGTCATCCCCGAAAGGATAGGGCCTTTGCAAGTCAGAGAAGGGCTCCTTAGGTGCTGCTCAGAAGGACAGAGGAACCAGAGAGCGGGATGCAGCTGGGCTGAGTAAGGAGACTAAGGGTCAGGATCTGGCCCCGACAGGTCCCTGGCTGGTGGAAGCTCTTACTAAGAGGGAAGACAGGTTCTCTTGAGTTCCCCTGGGGACACCACACAGGGCTCACAGCACTGCCAGGACCTTCCCCCTCCCTCACACACCAGGAGATGAGTCAGAGCCTGTGGCCAGAGAGCTTCCTCCTAGACGGAGGAAATGAGCAAGGCCTTCTCAGGCCCGGGATCCTTTCAAAAGGAAGCCCCCAGGGGGAATTTCAGAGGTGAGGCCTAGCCCCAGGGGCAGGAGTTCCACAGAAAGTGGGTGGCCCCTATGCCTCCCCAGGGAGGGTAGGGTCTGTAGGGGTTGGGGGTGATGGGGAAGGAGGGTCAGCACTCAGAGCAAGAGGGTAGCAACAGGCTGTGTCCTGTTCCGGTGCAGGACAATTGTACCTAGGATGAAGAAATGACAAGCGGCCCCTCTCTGGTTTCTGCCCAGGAAAAGAGAAGTCTGGGTTTCTGGGCCAGGTCGCCCCTCGGGAGAGCTAGCGATGCCAGCCTGAGCCATGGCGGTGCTCCTGGGCACCCTCATAGGACTGGGGGAGGAATCAGCTGTTGACATTTTCTGCAAGGAGGGGCCTGGCCCCCCTTGCTCAGCTCTTCCATGTCCCTGCCCCTACCCTATTTTCAGCCCTTCTTCCTCCAGCCTTCTATTTTGGGGCTGTGGTCACAGTTTCTATTTGGGATGAGCACAACACCGAGCATCTGACCATTCCTAGCACAACTGCCAGCATCAGGGAGGCCTGCCACCAGGCACCTTAGCAACCAGTGCCCACCTCCCTATCCTGCCTGTGGGACCAGGCCAGATCTCAGGTAGACTAGGTGCACTTGGACACTGCAAGTGGGGAGACCAGGAAAGGCTGAGCAGGGGAGAGAGGGAATACCTAAGACATTCTCCCTCAGAGCCCAGAACTGTCCTCAGCCGGACACAGGGACTAATGCGGGCAAGCCCCTAATAGGACGGAGAAGGGTCCCTAAATGAGGGATTTGTTTGTTTGTTTTTGGGGGCCACACTCGGCTGTGCTCAGGGCTTACTGCTGGCTCTGCACTCAGGGATCATCCTGGCCAGCCTCAGGGGACCATAAGGGTGCCCAGGATTGAACTCTGGTGGTCCTCATACAAGGCACAAGCTTTACTCCCCGTACTGTCACTCCATTCCAGGGGCCTGGGGGCTTCGGAACCTCTTTCTCTTTCCAGGAGCTGACTTCCCAAACCTTCCCACTCCTAAAAGGGAAGAGCGGTGTCAAGCCTTGGTCCTGGCCTCTAGTGAGGGCATGGGAGGAAAACAGTCGAGGGATCCAGTCTTATTTCCACTCAGGAGAGGAAGGAGGACCCTGGAAGCTCAGCACCCCTGTCTCCCCCCGACAAGACACATGCCCAACGGGTGTGAGCTCGGATCTCGGGTGCACTTCCACGTCCTCTTCACTTTTCCCTCCGACCGGGGTTGGTGGTATCAAAGTCTACGATGGGCACAGTGCAGCAACCTTCGGGGGTGGGTGTGCCTGGACACGCGCCTCTCTCAGGCGAATATTCTCACCGCTCCCGCCCGCGCTGGGAGGCGGGGCAAGCTGGCGGCGCGAGGAATGCAGGCTGGGGGCCCGGCGCCCGGGGCACATTCCAGGGGAGACCCCGGGCCCTGGGGGGGCAAGTTTGCGCAACTCGGCACCCAATAAAGCTGGGAGCGGCGGAAGGGCACCCCCCCCATCAACTCTCTCCTTCACCCCTAGCTGAGGACTGGCGGGCGGGGCACCGGGCAGGGGCAGGGGTGGGGGCGGGTAGGCTAATGGGCCTCCCAGAGTTCTGGCCCGGAAACCCAGCGCGCCGGAAAGGGCTGCCTGCGGGGGGCTGAGCACGGCCAGCGAGCGGGAGGGAGCCAGGGCGGGCCATCTGGAAAAGGGCCTCTCCGGGCCCTCGGCACTAGCAGACCGCCGGGCGCGGGCACCCCAGCGCAGGCCGCCGGTTCCAATTTAGGCCGGCCCGCCCCCTCCTCCCAGCAGCGGCGGGTGTAAGCGACGGGTGTAAGTGACTCAGAGGGCTTTCCTACCAGGGCAGCCGCCCGTGCTCTGTTTGTCCACGGCCGGGCGGCTTTCTGGGGACTCCCCCTCGCCCCATGCAGTCTCTTACTGGCTCGTACTCCCAGGCCCCGGTCCCATCTGCAGCGCACTTCACCCGCAGCAAGCGAGGCAGTCGCAGGACCAGGGCTCGGCCAAGTCCAGGGGCCCGCCCCGGGTCCAGCCCTCCCTGTGGGTCCGCCCCACTTACCTGAGCAGGTGGAAGCTAGCCCCACCCCGGCTCCTCCCCCAGGGCCGCTACAACCCCGCCGTCTACGGTCAGTTACCCAGACAGACAAGCAGCGAGTAGACCACCCCCAGCTCCTCCCGAGGTGGGTTTTACTTTGCCAGGCGGCTACAAGTTTCTTCTCTCTCTGTAGTGTCCCTAGCACACCAGGCAGCGTGGCCGGGGGCCCTCGGCTCAAGACCTCCCCGGAGGGGCGCACTCGCTCCAGCCCCTCCTCTAGGGCACCTCCCAGAGGCTTTCATGGCGCCGACCGTGAACCCTCAATCATTGCTCCAGTCTTTCCCCAGCCCCTCTCACCTTGAGCGGAGCCCCCAGCAGGCGGTGCAGCGCCGGAATCTGAGCGCTCAGAGGCAGCGCCCCGTCCAGGCTGCAGGTGGGGGCCCGTCGTGGCTCAGGGAAGTTGGCACATGCGAAGGGGTCGGTATCCTCCAGGTACTGCACCCGCACGGTCACCACGGATACTGGATCCCCGTCCCCGCGGTCTTCCCCTCCCGCCATGGTTGTGCAGCCGCTGGCCCGCGCCGCGCGTCTCCGGGAGGGTCGCCGCGATGTCTACTTAACAAACTTCTCTGGGCCGGGCCGGACAGACGCCAGGGAGGAGGGGCGGAGCCAGAGGGAGGTGGGGCCGAGGAAGGGGGTGGAGCCAAGAGTCTGAAAGCTCGAGGTGGGGGCAAGTACTACCGGGGGCGGGGCTTCGCTGCCAGCCACTCAGAGAGCGCGATCGTGATCCCGTTAGTTCACTGGCTGGGCGGGCGGGAAAATCTGAGCTCGAGCCCCGCCTCCACGAGTGCTCGGAGGGTGGGGAGGCTTTATTTTGGTTTGCGGGCGGTGAGGCTGCGCGAGATTGTTAGGGCAGGTGGCACGGAACTCTCTAGATGGTGGCCTGCCAGGGCTCGCTCAATTTAGGGATGGGATGACTCTGATTCCGTTGGTACGAGGCATAATTTGGATGGCGTTCTTTTATTTGAGGAAAAAGCAGGAGACGGGGACAGCAGGAGATGGTTTCCTTTAGATTTGGATCAAGAAGTGAAAATAGATTTCACTTGGTCTAAAAGGAAGAGATGGGATTATCAGATATTTCCCTTAAATTGGGACAAGAGACACGGGTGTTCTTAATTATGGAGGAAAAAGAAAAAGGATCTCAACATGATGGGGTGGAGATAGTATTTGTTCTCCTCAGTTAAGAAGAAATGTGATGGGCGCCTCTCAGCTTGAATGAACGAGGAAGAGATCCTCAGTTTGAGGAGAGACAAAACAAATGCCCTTTATTGTGATTTTTTGGGGTTTATTTTAAGCCACATCCAGAAGAACTCAGGGGCCAATCTTCTCAGTGCTCAGGGGACCAGGTGGTGCGGAGATCAAACCTATGCCTCCGCATGCAAAGTAGGTGCTCCAGTCCTATTTTTCTCCTCAGTTCTATTTTTTTTAATTATTAAAAAAAAAATACTGGGGAGCCACATCCGGAGGTGCTCAGGGGGCCATGTAGTGCTGGGGAAACACGCAGGGCTCCGGCATACAAAGCGTCGACTCCAGTCCTTTAAGGCGTCTCCCCGCCCCCGATTAGATTTGGGGGTAAAGTCGAGTGGCTGCCCTCGTAGACTGAAGAGGTTTTGAGAGGATGGCTTTTCCGTAGTTAGGGGAAAGAAGATAAATTCCCTTTTGTCTCATGCAAAAGGTGAGGAGTTCCCTGTAGTTTGAGGGAGAGGAACGTCAGGTGCTCTTCGGTTTGGGAGAAGAGGAACAACGTCCTCTTCAGCCTAGATCGAGCTGGACTCTCAGCGAGCTTTCGGGCACGTTGGGGGCAGCTCTGCCCATCACGGCTTTCCGAGAGCTCCCAGTACGCGTGCGCAGTTCTGGTCTCGGCGGGGGCCCAACGGGGGTCCGAGGCTGGCGCGGGCGGCGTGGGAGGCCGCGGCACACTGCCCCCTGCAGTCTGCACCGAGCAGCACCCGGGCCCGCGGCTGGGTACCTAGGCTTGGCCGCCGCCCCCGAGGTGCGGGAGCTGCGCGCCTACCGCCCCCACCCCAGACTCCCCATCGCGTGAAGTCCGCGGCTGCCTCCACGGTGGGGGACGCGGCGGTGGCCCGAGGGGGCTGTGGCCATTCGCCGGCTCAGAATTCGGGTCGGGGGGAGGTTTAGAGAAGGTTTTGGGGGAACAGCCTCGCAGGAGTAGGTTGCAGGACTGGGGGGAGGGGGCGGGGCGTGGGGGAGGGCTCCTTGGACCGGGGAATTTCCAGAGCTGAGGCTGGTTCAGAAGGAGGAGCAGGGGTGCATGCTAGGACGCCGGGGCAGGGTCTCGGAGTCTCGACCTGGCTGAGGGGTATCGGAGCCGGGATTGGGGGGAGCGCGCCCCACGTGCCTGTGACGCGGGGGCGGCCGGTAGGCGGCGGCGCCGGCGACGCGGGGCCGGCGGCCGTGCGGTGCCGGGAGGGGGGCTCGGCGGGCGGCAGGATGCTGCGCGCCGCACTGCCGCTGCTCGGGGTGCCCCTGGCCGGGGCAGGCGCGACCGATCAGCCCCCTCCGGAGCCGGGGTCTCCCGGTGAGCCTCCCCCAGGCTTGGCGCTCTTCCGCTGGCAGTGGCACGAGGTGGAGGCACCCTACCTGGTGGCGCTGTGGATCCTGGTGGCCAGCCTGGCCAAAATCGGTGAGTGCGTGCGTGTGGGGCTCTAGGCCGGCAGCCCGGGCAGCGGAGCGCCCTACCCCCGCTCTCGCCCGATCCCCCGACCCTCAATTCCCAGATCCCGACTGGCTTCTGGCGCGGGTGCCCGGACTTTGTTTCCCATCCCACAATCCCACCTCTACCTAGTACCTGCGCCGCCTCTGGGGGGGGGGGGGGGGTCTCCCTCCTTCCCTTCTCCCGGGGCGCTGAGGATTTGCCTTTCTCCACGGGCTGCTCGAGCTCTCTCTAGATTCTTCCCTAGACTCCTTTGCCCTTTCTGTCTCCCCTTCAGTCCCCCCCCCGCCCCCCTTTGCGATTAAACCCTTCAGTCTGCTCTCCACCAATCCCAGCCTCCTAAAAGCCTGTGCCTGCGTCGTGAGGGGCCGCTGAAGGGGGTCCGCCAGACACTAACAGTCTCCCGGCGCGACCCCCTGCCAAGCTGTCCACTTCTCTAGCCTCTCGCTCGCTAAAGACTCCCCCTTCTTGTGTCCAGCCGTGGGCTTAAAGCGCCGCCTGCCTCCCACTTCAGGGTGCCAGAAACTTCCAGTAACTGGGGTCTTTCTAGTGCTGCCTGCAACAAGATGCTTTCAGAGCCGGACCACCGTTAGCCTTCAGTGCTCTGGTCCTTTCGTTGCGGAGCTCGGTTTCTGTGCTCTCCCAAGCAGTCAGTGGTCCCTCCTCCACCGAGACCCTCCTCCTTCTCCCTGTTGTGCAGGCTCTGCTGTGGGGGTGACTAATTATAGCAGAGCGTTGCTACTCACTCCCCGTCTATGCTGGCACAGCCTGTACTCCGTCTCACCGTCTTCTTGTGGGAACCACACAGCCTAGAGTTAGCCCCCACCCCTTCTCTCCCCAATGCTCCTTGTGCTGAGGGACTGGGGTGGCTGGGCAGGGAGCAGAACTCCACGCCACAGTGACAGCTCATTAATAACAGAAAATGGGACTTGAAATGCCTGCGGGAAGCCTCCTGGTGCCAGAGTCCTGGCTTTTGTAAGAGGTTATGGATTGCAGTGCTAGGGGAAGGTCCCTGAAAGGGAGGAGGGGTGCCCCCAAGGTAAGGATGAGCGTGAGGACATCCCTGACAGCTGAGGGGCTGGCAGCAGCACTGAGTGCCAGGTGGGAACACCCTCAGGTTTGGGAGTCAAAAATCGGACTCACTGTGAATCCCGAGTGGTGGGGGAGTCCCTTTTTATTTAGGGTCTGTGGCGATGACAAGTTTCCCCCATAAATCACACTGCTTTTCCTAGCTTGGATAACACCTCCTATGGGGGCAGGAGAAGAGAGCTGCTTCTTCAGCTAAAAAAAAAAAAAAAAAAAAAAAAATTCCAGCAGGGAGGGGACCTGGGGAAGAGCCTTGGCAGTCCAGTCCCTGCCCACATTTATTGGCGAGGCTGCCGGGTGTGACCCCACACAGCTGTGAGCGACTGTCAGCACTGCTGTTGTGATTTGTGGTACCACTACAAGTGGGACCTCCAGTATACTATAGCTAAGTATGTGTGAGCGCTGCAACCAAGTATACACCCCTGAGACACAAAGGGAAGCGATGGGGGACATTCGAACCACAGTGAGGGGAAAGAGGCAGAAAATACTACCTGGGATACTCTTCCCCCAGCTTTAATGCTGGAAGACTCCCTCCCTGGATTCACCAGTTAGATCTCATGATATGCCAGGCACTGCCCCAGACCCCCCTTTTTTTTGGGGGGGTCACACCTGGCGATGCACAGGGGTTACTCCTGGCTTTGCACTCAGGAATTACTCCTGGAGGTGCTTGGGGGACCATTTGGGATGTTGGGAATCAAACCCGGGTTGGCTGTGTGCAAGGCAAATGCCCTACCCGCTGGTGCTATCGCTCCAGTCCCTGCCCCAGGCCCTTTGGGCACAGCTTCAGAAAGACTTTGTGTCCCCAGTGGAAGCCTCCCCCACTGTCCACCACTCTGGAGACTGTATTGGGGAGAGGTGTTTGCTCTTGGTCTCAGGGCATAAGGGTAAGCCAGTGAGTTTCGTTTAGGGGGCAAAGGCAAGAGTGACAGTAACGCTTGAAGCTCTTTCCTGCCTGCTCCAACAGATTTAACTCACCTTTGCTGCAAATAGGCATCCTGACATCTTGCTAGGCACATTCCCACTCGTTCCTTCGTCTTACCTTTATAGTGAATATATTACCCATGCTACAGGAGAAGCTGAAGTTCAGGTAACTTAAATAGTTTGCTTGAGATCACACAGAAAGTGAGGGGGTGTGAAGAGCTGGAGACGTTCTGACAGCTAAGCCCCATGCTTCTCATTTATTTCGACTTTTGGGACTTGGGGACCACACCTAGTGGTGCTCAGGTCTTACCCTGGCTCTGTGCATAGGGATCAGTATTGGCAGTTTTCAGGGGACCATATGAGGTGCCAGGGATTAAACCCAGGTTGACAGCATGCAAGGCAAGCACCTTATCCACTGTACTCTTTGACCTGCCCTTAGACTTTTTGAAGGGCTGAGTCCTTACTGAGCTACAGCATAGAAAGCACCCTGGGCTGGAGCACTGTCGACAAGCCTCCTCAGAGGCAGACTGCACTGTGGCCTAGTAATAGGTAAAGTTCAGTAAGTGCCGACTGTAGAGCATGCTAAGTGCTTCTGAGTAGGTTGTTTTATTTAAACTCATAATAATTCTATGAGTTCTTTATGGTTTTATTTTTGTGGTTTTTTTTTTTTTGCTTTTTGCTTTTGGGCCACCCCCAGCGGTGCTCAGCGATTATTTGCATTATGAGTTTTAATTCCCATTTTGTGACTGAGAAAAGTGAAAGACAGAGTGAAATTATTTGCTCTGAAGTCACAGGATCTAGAGGAATTAGAATTTGAACCATGAGACCCTGAGTTATAATTATGCTATGCATAAATGTACCAAGTACTATTTGCCCCGAGATTCAGATACTGTCTATAGATAAGGGAGATCAGAAAGGTGAAATTGGAGCCAGAGGGATAGTACAACAGATAAGGTGCTTGTTTTGGTGTCTCGGATGGCATTCGGTCTACCCGCTGCCATCTGAGACATCACATTTGGTGCCCTGAGCCCAGCTGGGTGTGCCCCACCCCCACAAAAAAAGAAAGATGACTTCTTTTGAGGGCAAACATAGATGGGAGGGGCATTCCCGGAAGTAGAAAAAGCAAGCTAAGGCTGAGTTGAGACAAATACTGAGAAACAGACCACCCAGGTACAGTGGGGGATTTGATTGGCCCAAGAGCAGATTCTCCAACTTCCTGGCCTACTGTCCTTTATTTGGAAAAAATAATCACTCAAAACCCCTAGAAATCTATCTTTAAGCAAACAATCAGAAAGCACTCCCCAAATTGCTCTGGATGCTTCTCCTTCAACCCCCACTCCTTGTTCCAGCACCCCCAGGCAATGGTATCACCTGCTTTGGAAAACACTCCGAGGCTGGCCATTCTAGGAGTCCTGCATTTTTTCTTTTTTCTTGGTCCCAGGGTGAACACCTGCTAAGACTGAGAGGTTCTAGGCCAACGTGTATGTGCATGTGTGCACCCCTCATCCCCTGCCTGTGACTGCCCCCTCAACTAACGTTTCCTGCCCTCTTCTGCACTATAGTGTTCCACTTGTCCCGGAAGGTGACGTCTCTGGTCCCTGAGAGCTGCCTGCTGATTTTGCTGGGCCTGGTGCTGGGAGGCATCGTCTTGGCTGTGGCCAAGAAAGCTGAGTACCAGTTGGAACCAGGCACCTTCTTCCTCTTCCTGCTGCCTCCCATTGTGTTGGACTCAGGCTATTTCATGCCTAGTCGACTGTTCTTTGACAACTTGGGTGCCATCCTGACCTATGCCGTGGTGGGCACACTCTGGAATGCCTTCACAACAGGCGTTGCCCTCTGGGGCCTGCAGCAGGCCGGATTTGTGGGTGAGTGATCTTAAGGCCAGGGCTGGCAAAGGGAGGCCGTGTCAGACACATACCCCAGTTTCCTGCCCATCCAGCTCTGGAGATGCCATGGTGACAGAGTCACACTCTGAGTGCTGTCCTAGGCCCCACCCCAGAGTGCCAGGCAGCGCTCCAGATGGGCCCGCGGCCTTCATTCAGGTCTCTGCCAGGCTAGTCTGGGTTTCTGTAGCCTGACAGCAGAGCAGGGCTGGCTTCCGGCTGTGTGTGGGCTGCGGAGGCCGGAAAACCTGCCTGGACACTCTGCTGCTTCCTGCTCTCTGTGCCCACACTGACACTTGCCAGCCCTGCTTCCCTGAGCCCAGCTCATGTTGGGAGGGTCACCATCCTGGTTGTGCCCCAGTCTTAGTCAGGGAGGGTTGCTGACCTCAGAGTTCATTCTATTTATTATCATTGTTTTTGTGGTGTCAGGTATCCAATCTTGGATCTCACACATACAAGGCAAGAGCTCTACTGCTGAATTACACCCCGAACTTTCTTTCTTTTATGGTGCTGGGGCTCCAACCATGGCCTCACACATGTGAAGCCTGTGTTCCACCGCTGAATCACATGAACAAATATGTATTTTTGGTCCGGAGAGACACTACCGGAGTGAGGCACTTGCTTTGCATCTGGCCGACCCTGGGTTCGAACTCTTGTACCATATATGGTTTCCATACCACCACCGGGAGTGACCCTTGAGCAAAGAGCCAGAAGTAGTTCCTGAGCACTACTGGCTGTAGCCCCCAAACACAGTGCACTGTAGCACTGTCCTCCCGTTGTTCATCGATTTGCTCGAGCGGGCCCAGTAACGTCTCCATCGTGAGACTTGTTGTTACTGTGTTTGGCATATCGAGTACGTCACGGGTAGCTTGCCAGGCTTTGCCGTGCGGGCGAGATACTCTAGGTAGCTTGCAAGGCTCTCTGAGAGGGCCGGAAGGATCGAATCTGGCTCTGCTGGGCCGGCTGCGCGCAAGGCAAACGCCCTACCCGCTGTGCTATCGCTCCAACCCACCCCTTCCCTATCCGTATTATACATTCATAGAATGCAAAGTGCCAGTGCTGTGCATTCAGTGCCCAATTCTTTAGGACAGCCCTGCAGGGATAGCATGTGTCCCATGCAGTGGGGGAGGGACAAGACACCTGACACTCAGTTCCTGTTGGAACCAAGGTGGTGGGCAGGAGAGGTCCATTCTACTGATCTCTTCGCCTTCCCACTGCCCAGTCCTGTTTCCTCCGCTTTACCCTGCTTCTGCCTAAATTCATTCAACCCTGCTTCGTGATCATTCAGATTTCTTCCCAGATGCCTGGTGAGGTATGCCATCTCTGCCTGGGGATACCAGGTGCTTTTTTTTTTCCTGCTGGGGTGGAACTCTCTGGAACAGAAAAGGAAGGGAGGACATTAGCTCATCTTCATCACAATAAGCTTGATGTTGGCCAATCTTTATTGGGCCCGGGTACACAGAAAGATCTTTCTGAGGTAGATCCTGTTACATTCCCCATATCTGCGTGAGGAGATGGAGGCTCGCAGTGTGTGTTCAAATCCTGTGGTGCTCTTCCTACCCTCTTCAGCCCTTGGAGATGGAGCACACCCCCCATTCTCCTGCCACTGAGAACTGTGAATGTCACATCTCTTAGGCTGAGAACCACAGGTGCCCGAGAAAGCGCGTCTTTGTTCTGCTCTCTAATAAAGCCAGGCAGCTGCTGGTGGTTGGCTGCAGTCTGAACTCCAGGCCGGCTCAGCTTTCTGGTGCCACAGAGCTTTCTTAACCCACTCCTAGGTTGATTATTTTTTGCATTGTTTTGTTTTGGAGCCACCCCCTGGCAGTACTCGGGGCTTACTCTGGCTCTGCGCTCAGGGATCACTCCTGGTGATGCTCAGGGACGCCAGAGATTGGACCCAGGTCAGCTGCATGCAGGGCACACACCTTGCCCGCTGTATTATCTCTCCCTCTTGGGCTGATTTTTGCTGCCATCTTGTGAGGTAGGCAGATCAGGAGGCCTGACTGAGGGAAATCACTGTGTCAGTGACAGAGCCCGCAGCCCAGAGATGGTAAGTGGTCACGCCAGACCTTGGGCCTGACTCCTCACCTGCAGGCTGGCACTCTCTCTTCACCCTCCCATGTCCTCTCAGGTGTCCTGGTCGAAAGAGCGGGGCAGAGTCTGGGTCCCAGGACATTCTGCCCCTCACGGGGGACTGTCCCCATCTGCTCCTCATAAGGCCCTAGGGTGCAGGCGGGCTTTCTGGACTTCCTGCTCTTCGGGAGTCTCATCTCTGCCGTGGACCCTGTGGCTGTGCTGGCTGTCTTTGAGGAGGTGCACGTCAACGAGACACTCTTCATCATCGTCTTTGGCGAGTCCCTGCTCAACGATGCGGTCACCGTGGTGAGACGCTCCAGTCCCTCAGCCCAGGCTGCGCGCTCTGCCCAGGGCTCCTGCCCCTCCCCGGCATCGCCAAGCCCGCCCCCCCCTGCCGACTCCCCTCTTCTCCCTCAGGTGCTGTACAAGGTCTGCAACTCCTTTGTGGAAATGGGCTCTGCCAACGTGCAGGCCACGGACTACCTAAAAGGAGTCGGTCAGTATTTCCCCCCTCGGCTGGCGCGGGTCACCTGCTGTCCCGGGATTACCGAGTCTCCCCGCTCTGCACCCTGTCACCACACCTCCTGACAAGGAGGTGTTCCGGGTTGCCTGGCTCTCTTCCCTCCTCCCTGGAGCCAGGGGGGGCCCTGAGAAGCTGAGCAGGGGGGCTTGCCCCAGCTCCCAGCCTGGCCCACTCCACTTCCCGCCAGGCAGCAGTCTCGTCAGCCCGGGTGGGGTCCGGGCCAGGGCTCACGCTGACCCCCCCACTCCTCCCCCAGCCTCCTTGTTTGTGGTCAGTCTGGGCGGGGCAGCCGTGGGCTTAGTCTTTGCCTTCCTCCTGGCCCTGACCACACGCTTCACCAAGCGGGTCCGCATCATCGAGCCGCTGCTGGTCTTCCTCCTCGCCTACGCAGCCTACCTCACGGCTGAGATGGCCTCGCTCTCTGCCATTCTTGCGTGAGTCCTGGGATGGCCTTGTGAGCTGCCAGTGGTGGGGGGGAGGGGCTAGAGACAGTTGTCCCTCACCAGGATGGCCATCAGACCCTGAGGCCTGTGGGAGAGAGTCCCCTCAGACATTCTTCCAGGATCTGCTGTCCTCTTGTCCTGGCTGACCCGGCCCCCAGTCTTCCTGAGGTGTCCACAGCATGTGGGCTAAGTGGGAAATGGACCCCAAGGCTGAGTGTTGCAACTCAGCAGTTGTGGCCTTCCAAAAGCGTCTGAGAGGCAGCCAGTCAGAGATGTCTTTGCTGGCTTGTCCCTCTCCTGAGTGGGAGATGGAGTAGGGCCTTTCTCTAGGTCCTATGAACTGTCTAGGACTCCGTGTCTCCCCAGGCTTCGACTCTGAGAAGCTGATGGTCTGTTTTGTTTTGGGGCCACACCTGATAGTGCTCAGGCCTTACGCCTGGCTTTGTGTTCAGGGGTCACTCATGGCGGGGCTCAGGGGACTCTATGTGATGCTGGGGATTGAACCCAGGTCGGCCACGTGCAAGGCAAGGGCCTACCTGCTGTACTATCACTCTGGCCCAGGACCAACTGTCTGTGAAGGGCAGGGCCTTTTTCTGGCAGACCCAGCCCCCAGAGGCTGGGCCTCCTACAACCCACCCCTCACATCTCCTGACCTCTCCCAGGGTGACTATGTGTGGTCTGGGCTGTAAGAAGTACGTGGAGGCCAACATCTCCCATAAGTCCCGCACAGCTGTCAAATACACCATGAAGACGCTGGCCAGCTGCGCTGAGACCGTCATCTTCATGCTCCTTGGCATCTCAGCTGTGGACTCTTCCAAGTGGGCCTGGGACTCTGGGCTGGTGCTGGGCACCCTCTTCTTCATCCTGTTCTTCCGAGCCCTCGGTATTGTCGGCACCCTCTGCTCTCTTGCTCTCCTTTCTGCCCTGCCCCCCGTAGCTCATCCCTCATCTGAATCCACCTCCTGGTCATGTCCTCAGCAACCCTCCCCCACCCCTGCCGCCTCCCCCCTGGCTGCTCACCGCGCCCAGCCCCTGTCCAACCTGAGCCCAGATCCTTGGTACCATCTGCTCCCCATGTCCTCCACTCCCAACGCCCTGCTCCCACTGGCCTCCCTCCTGCTGTAGGCGTAGTCCTGCAGACGTGGGCGCTGAACCAGTTCCGGCTGGTCCCTCTGGACAAGATTGACCAGGTGGTGATGTCTTATGGGGGCCTGCGGGGGGCTGTGGCCTTCGCACTCGTCATCCTCCTGGACAGGACCAAGGTTCCTGCCAAGGACTACTTTGTGGCCACCACCATCGTGGTGGTCTTCTTCACGGTCATCGTGCAGGTGGGAGAGCTCACGAGGCTGACGGGAGAGGGGTTGGCCGGTCTGGGGGAGGCTGCGAGCGCCTGTAGGATGAGCGGGGAGTGGGTCCTGACATGGCGTGTGATGGGAGATGGGAGCCGAGCCTAAGCCCAGTGATGGGTAAAGAAAGGCAGCCAGAGGCCGGAAGCAGGGGACGGGGCTTACCCACTGCCTGTCCATAGGGCTTGACCATCAAACCTCTGGTCAAGTGGCTGAAGGTGAAGAGGAGTGAGCACCATAAACCCACCCTGAACCAGGAGCTGCACGAGCACGTGGGTACCGGCGCCCCGTCCCGTGGCTGTCCCACTCGCCCTTCTATTCTGAGCAGAGTCCTGATCCAGTCCCCCTCCCCGCCCCCCTTCTAGACCTTTGACCACATTCTGGCTGCAGTGGAGGACGTTGTGGGGCACCATGGCTACCACTACTGGAGGGACAGGTGAGGGAGCTGCCCCGAAGCTCCTTCAGCAGCAGCCGCCCCACCAGCCAGGGCAGGCTGGGGGAGGTGCCCCCCTTCCGAGAAGGGACAAAGAAGGGACAAGGGGGCCCCCTGTCGGAAGCCCCACGGTGGCCTCCCAGGCCTCAGGATCAGCCCAGGCTCCCCAGGAAGGCCTGCCCAGTCCTGCTTGGTCTGTGGCTTCTGTGTGCTCGACTCCGCCTGCCTATCTCAGGGTCCCCAAGGTCGAACTTCAAGACCCACTTGCACATGCTGTTGGTGCTGTCAGCATACCCCTTCGCCCCCCCTCACCTCCTCACCCTCTTCATCCTGCAGACCATCTCCCCAGAGGCATCAGCTTCTTAGGGGCCCCCCCAGCCTCCCTGACAGGACAACCCCATCATCCTCTCTAATTCCCCTTTGTAGTTCTTGTCAGGGTTGTAACTTTACGGTTGTTTGTGAAAAGCTCAGACAGTGTCAGGCTTTCTTGCAACCTTATGTATTCCAGAGGGGTAGGCCCTGAGATTCTCCCTGGCCAAGTTCCCCTACCTGGAGCTTAGGCCACTGCTGATGGCGCCCCAGTCCTGTCCAAGGTGGGGCTTGCTAGCTGGGCACCAGGGGATGGCACTCAGGTTGGGCCTGGCCTCCTCCTCTGTAGGTGGGAGCAGTTTGACAAGAAGTACCTGAGTCAGCTGCTGATGCGGCGGTCAGCCTACCGCATCCGGGACCAGATCTGGGATGTGTACTACAGGCTCAACATTCGGGATGCCATTAGCTTTGTGGACCAGGTAGGTATGTGGTTGCCTGTTGTGGTGGGTGGACAGGAGGCAAGGCCAGCTGAGTGGGGCAGATAGGCTCTATGCACGCAGGGAGGTGGGAATTCCCAGCAGACTCCTGGGTCCTGTGAAGTAGCTGATGCTGGCGCCAGGTGGCTGAACACGGCCATTCAGAGTCTGGCAAGCAGGATAGGGTGGAAGCAGCCGGACTCTGTCATGGAGGTGATTTATTTATTTGGGTCTTGGGGCCATACGTGGTGGTGTTCAGAGCTTACTCCTGGCTCTGTGCTCAGGGATCACGCCTGGTGGGGCATGGGGGACCATATATGGGCGGTTTGGGATTGAACTGGTGTTGGCCACAAGCAAAACAAGTACCCTACCCATTGTTCTATCACTCTGGCCCCCGAAAGTGATTTATTTCTTATCATAGGCTGGTGACCTTGGGTAAGACACTTTGCCTTTCAGAGCCTCAGTATCCTCACTTGTAAGAAAGTGGGAATAAGAATCTCTGGGGATTATAAAGTGCCTCACTTAGTGTCTGGAACAACTAAAGGACAAAATAAGGGCCAGGGATGTGGCTCAGTGGTGCAACACATATCTTGCATGTGCAAGGTTTGATCCCTAGTACTACCAAAAAAAAAAAGAAGAAAAAGAATGAGATAATGTTAACGATTGTTATTCTTATTTTTTTTGGGGGGGGGGGGCAGGCGGTGGTTTGGGTCATGTCCAGCAATGTCTAGGGGTTACTACTGGCTCTGCACTCAGAAATAACTCCTGGCAGTTCTTGGGAACCACATGGGATGCTGGGGATTGAACCCAGGTCAGCCATGTGTGAGGCAAATGCACTACCTGCTGTACTATTGCTTTGGCGCCACTATTGTTATTCTTTTTTGTTTTGTTTTGTTTCTTGGGCCACACCTGGCAGTACTTGGAGCTCACTCCTTGTGCTCAGGGATCACTTCTGGCAGGCTCAGGAAACCAGATGGGGTATCAGGGATCGAACCAGTTGGTTGTATGCAAGGCAAGGTGCTCTACCAACTGTACTAACTCTCTGGCCCCCACGATTGTTATTCTTAGAATTAAAAAAAAATACATATTCTCTGAATGTCTGCCTTCCTCTGCCTGACTGCGTCTGAACTCTTACCTCTGTGTTGGCCTCTGCAGGGAGGCCATGTCTTGTCCTCCACGGGCCTCACTCTGCCCTCAATGCCCAGCCGCAATTCTGTGGCCGAGACCTCTGTCACCAACCTGCTGTAAGTCCTTGAGTCCCCTTTCCCTTTTGGGCTGCTCTCCACTGGGTCCTCTAAATCTCTTCTGGGGAAGATTTGTGAGCCCCTCCCTGTGCCAGGGCCCAGGGTCCTCCCTTCCCAGTGCTCTTGCTCTCTGCCTCCTGCAGGAGGGAGAGTGGCAGTGGAGCGTGTCTGGATCTGCAAGTGATCGACACAGTCCGCAGTGGCCGGGACCGCGAGGATGCTGTCATGCACCACCTGCTCTGTGGAGGCCTCTACAAACCACGCCGCAGGGTGAGTGTGGCTGGGGGGGGGGGGGGGGGGGGGAGGGGACGGGAGGCGGAATTCTGGGCATGGGGGTATCTGGGGCAGTTGTGGGCCCAGGCCTGTGAAATGCCCAATTGGAAGTGTGGGCTTCATAGTAGGGTGATAATAACCTGGAGCTGCTTTTTTGAGAAAAAAAAATGCTGAAGGACCTGTTAGCAGAGCGCAGACGGGATTGGAGGGAGGGTTGAGTGGCTGTGAGAGCTGGGTGGTGGGAGGGAAGGGGATCCCCAGGGGGTGACAGACAGAGGAGGGGTGCTGAGGAAGCCTGTGGATCAGCGTGGCTAGGGGAAGACAGACATGTGTTTGGGAGCTGAATCTGTTACAACCCCACAAGGGGGCAGCAAGCCATTGTCTTGGGCCTTTCTGCAAAGGGCAGGCCAGCTCTCACCATTCCAGGCAGCTTTTAATGATACCGTTTCTACTGTTAAGACAGAATTGGCTTCCTTTGACTTGCTCCCACGGGCCCTCATTTGACTGCGGCTCTGCAGAGTAAGGTTTCAAAGGACTGGCAGCTGCTCATTGCACACAGGCCTTCCTCCCCTCAGGCCAGCATCTCCCGTCCCTGGTCTTCTCCAGTCACAGGAAACAGGCCTAGAGTGAAGGAGCCATCAGAGGGGTGGGGGGTGGGAGGAGGTGGTGACGTAGAGGCCCATTTGCCATTCTCTCCCACAGCAGTGCTCTCGTGTTGGCTTGCCACCCTGTCCTTAAAAATTTTGTCCTTAGGGGCTGGAGCAATAGCACAGCGGGTAGGACGTTTGCCTTGCACGTGGCCAACCCGGGTTCGATTCCCAGCATCCCATATAGTTCCCTGAGCACCGCCAGGGGTAATTCCTGAGCGCAGAGCCAGGAGGAACCCCTGTGCATTGCTGGGTGTGACCCAAAAAGAAAAAAAATTTGTCCTTAGGGGGCTGGAATGATAGCACAGTGGGTAGGGCGTTTGCCTTGCACACAGCCGACCAAGGTTCAATTCCCAGCGTCCCATATGGTCCCCTGAGCACCGCCAGGAGTAAATCCTGAGTGCAGAGCCAGGAGTAACCCCTGTGCATCGCTGAGTGTGACCCAAAAAGAAAAAAAATTTTGTCCTTAAAATTCAGGCAACCCTTATCTTCCTCAATTGATAGCTCTTAAATCTATGTCATCACTGGGCATTTGTTTTACCCCTTTTACTGTTTTTCTGATGGTAATTTCAGTCTAAAACTAGAGAGGAGAAAATAACACAGTTATCTACCACCGAGATCGAGCATGATTATTGGGGCAAGGTTAAACTTGGAACATTCTTTTTACTTCCCTACAAACACCATCCATATTTTATTATTGTAAACCAAATATTAGACATCATATATAAATATTTGAAAATGTATGGCCAGGTGGCAATACCTTAAAAAATTTATTGAGGTAATATTACTGTAAAAGATTTTTTGTTTATAAGACTGTGAATTTATTATTATTATTATTATCATCATCATCATATTTTTTGCAGTGCAGGACGTTGAACCGAGATCAGTGCATGCAAGACATATGCTTTGTCATTGAGCCATATCCCTAGCTCAGGTGTTACTTCTGGTTTTCTAGTCAGGAATTACTCCTGGCAGGGTTCCATATGGGATGCCAGGGTTCGAGCCCGGGACAGCCATGTGCAAGGCAAATACCCTACCCACTGTATTCTCTCCGCCTCATAAGACTACATATTTTAAGATTACAGTATCATACATCTTCAAAATATGTTATTACTCTACACCCATTGCCAAAATAGTAAGAACTAGGGCTGGAGAAATAGTATACAGTGGGTTTACATTTACCTTGTATTAGCCTGCTGGGTTCTGATCCCCAGCATCCTATATGGTACCCTGAGCACCACCAGGAGTGATTCTTGGGTGCAGAACCAGGAGTAACTAACTCCTGAGCATCACAGGGTGTGACCCCAAAACAAAATAACACACAAAAAATAGTAAGACTTTTCTTTTTGTTATTTTTTTTTTAAACATAGGGCTTATTTTGGGCTCTGTGCGTAGGGATCACTCCCAATAGTGTCGGAGCATAGACGATACCTGGGATAAACCCCAGTTAGATGCATGCAAGGCAATCTCCTTACCCACTGTATTACCTCTCTAACCACCTCCTTTTTTTAACCTCCTAAATGGTGCTCAGTAGACTCGGAGGCTCCTCCTAGAGAGTCTCAGTCAATAGACCAAGGGCACTTTGCTGCTCAGGTGTAGCAGCACTGGGAGGTGTTTGGGGGACCACGTGATGCCTGGGATCAAAGCCATATAGGCATGTGCCTTAATCCCCAAACTATTTCTGGCTCAAAGTAGTAAGAACTTTAAAAATTATAATCATAATATCACTATCACGACAAATATCAATAATTCCTTCTGACATCAATATCTGATCAATTATTCAATTATTCCTTTTTGCCAGATGTTTTTATATTATGATCAGAGTAAAATCCACACTTTGCATGCACTAAATATGTCTCCTTACTCTTAAAAATGTATGACAGTTCCCTTTGTCACCACACCCTCCCCCCTTATTTATTGAAGAGAATGACTTATTGTCCTGGAGAATATCACTCTTTGCAGATTTTATTTTTGGGTCACACCTCACAGTTCCCATGGGACATTCCTGGCTCTGTGCTCACGGGTGGTGCCTGACAATGCTCAGGGGATCATGCAGGCCAGATGCAAGGCAAGGTCCAAAACTTCTGTACTATCTTCCAGCCCTATAGATTTTGTTGATGGTGTTCCAGTGGTGGTGTTTAACATATTCCTTCATCTCTGGTATTTCTCGTTGAAGCTAAAGATCTGTTTAGGTTCAGAAATGTTCCATAGGCATGCAGCGTATTTCTCGGTGCATTACAGCAGTAAGTGCAAAGTAACTGGTTGTCAGTGATTGTGTAAGATTGACCCATGGGGACTGGGAAGATAGTCCTAAGGGATAGAGTACATATTTTCAGTAACCCAACCCCTAATTCCTCATGTCCTTTACAAAAATGTCAGTAGTGCAAGAGACAAAGGTGACCAGGATAAAATTTGAAAGGGACATATAGAGTTACAGAGCAGGGTGGTCTGGAGATGAAGATCTGGAAACCATTTCTACAGATGTTTCCTGATGGGGCTATGTCAGTATTCCTGGGAATCTTTTCAAGCACCCACATTCCTGCCTTTGCCTCAACGTGGAACAGGATGAAGAATCTAGGTGCTGAGGCCAGAGACAGTTACAGAGGTTGAAGCATTTGCCTTGCAGCAGCCACCCCAGATTCTAATCCTGACTGTATATATTCCCCTGAACACCACCAGGGGTCACTCCTGAGCACAGAGCCAGCAATAGCCCTTGAGCACTGTCAGCTGTGGCCCCAAACCCAAAAGGGAAAAGGCCGCCATGGTGTCATTGTGGCCCTGAGAGATAGGATACGTGTCATTTGATATCCCAGAATTGGGAAAGGGGGTACAGCTGGGGACTGGGAGAGCCAGATTGGGGTGAAGAGGTTCTGGGAGAAAGAAAAGCTGCCTGGTGTGAAGGAAGAATCTGAGGCGTCCGGCTGGATTGCCTTGCTTTGATGTTTATTCCGGGTGAGTTCGGGTTCCTGGGGGGAGCTGAGGCCTCCGGCTCACGGCAGGGCGTTGTCATTGGCAGTACAAAGCCAGCTGCAGCCGCCACTTCATCTCAGAGGATGCGCAGGAGCGGCAGGACAAGGAGGTCTTCCAGCAGAACATGAAGCGGCGGCTGGAGTCCTTCAAGTCCACCAAGCACAATGTCTGCTTCACCAAGAACAAGCCGCGCGTGCGCAAGGCCGGCCGCAAGAAGGCAAGAGGCTTCCAGCTCCCCGGGGGCTAGGCAGGAGTTTGAGTGTTAGAGTCCAGCCCCACGCGGACCCCGTGGTTTATTCTTGAGACCTTGGTGGCTATAGCAGTTTGGGTTACCTTTGGCATCTTCCTGGGGCCTACGGGGGACCATGTACCTCCCTCACTACATGGTCACCTTATAACAGAGGGGAAACAAGTAGGAGAAAGATGATTCCTTGGGGCTGGAGAGATAGCAGGTAGGGCATTTGCCTTGCAAGAGGCCAACCCGAGTTCGATTCCCAGCAGCCCATGTGGTCCCCCAAGCACGGCGCCAGGAGTAATTCCTGAGTGCAGAGCCAGGAGTAACCCCTGTGCATTGCCAGGTGTGACTCAAAAAGCAAAAAAAAAAAAAAAAAAAAAAAAAAGAGAAAGATGATTTCTTGACGGGGAGCTGAGGTCGTGCAACTCTTTGAGTCCCAGATTCAGCCCTTCCTGGGGTGCAAAGGGATGGGGACCCTTTTCTCACACAGATAGCCTTTCCCACTGCTCTATCCTATTGGGGTTTGGAGTCTGGCCGGAGGCTCAGGGATATTTCTTTTTTCTTCTCCTCAGAAGGATGGTGTGATGGGCACTGAGGCTACAAATGGGAAAACACCCCGAGACTTGGGCCTGCAGGACACAGGCAAGAAGGGGGTATGGTAGGGAGGGGTGCAGGGGAACGGAGAGGGAGTACTGCGAGTCGGTTCCTCCCCTCAGGTGGGCATATGCACGTGGGTTCCAAGTTCACAGCAGCGTTGGGGGGCCTAGAGCTATATAGTATAGCGGGTGGGGTGCTTGCCTTGAATGCAGGTTCAATCCCAGACACCCCATAGGGTCCCTTGAGCCCGCCAGGATGATCCCTGAGTGCAGAGCTAGGAGTAAGCCTGAGCACTGAGCACAGCTAGGAGTAAGCTGGGTGTGGCCTCCAAACAAAAACGAACAGAAAAAGCTGTGCTGGAAACAGTCACCATCAGGGTGCCACAGGCGGGGCCTGAGGGCACCCACACTCCATCGTGGAGAACGGGACCTTCCTGGGCCTTGCATGACTGCTCCTAGGGGCTCAGCGTCCTGTCTGCCAAATTTGGAACCTGAGGGTTCTGAGAGTTCCCTGGTCTTGCTCCTCCTGGCTGTGGTGCAGAGGAGAGGGAGCTGGAGTTTCTGGGGGTGCCTCCTTGAGCTGGAGTTTCTGGGGGTCCCTCCTTGAGCTCTGCAGTCTCTCCCCGCCCCCTGCTGGTGCTGAAGCAGCTGGAGGAGAAAGTGGGTGTCTCCATCAGGGGTGGGGACCAGGGTTGGCTGGGGCTTGGGAGGCACCAGGAGATCAGGCTGGCTGCCCCATTTTGTCCTTGACCCGTCCAGGTGCTGTCATCCTCACCGTGGAGTCTGAGGAAGAGGAAGACAGCGACAGTTCGGAGACAGAGAAGGAGGATGACGAAGGGATCATCTTTGTGGCACGGGCCACCAGCGAGGTTCTGCAGGAGGGCAAGACCTCAGGTGAGGGTCCTCCCGCTGCCACCAAGCACGGCCGCCCTCCCTCTTCTCTTATGCCCAGCTCTTTCCACAGCCAAGGATTGATTCAGCAGGATGAGCATCCTTCTTCCTTACTACTCTTCCTTTTTTTTTCTCTTTTTCTTTTTGGAGGGTGAGCAGTGCTGGGGTTATCCTGACTCTGCACTCAGGAATTACTCCTGGTGGTGTTTTGGGAACCATATGGGGTGCCGGGGATCTAACTGGGGTCAGCTACATGCAAGGCAAGCGTGTATATGACCACACCGACCCATCCTTTCTTTTTCTTCCTTTTCTGCCTCTCTTCCTTCCTTTCTGGGCTTTTGGGCTGCACCTGGCAGTGATCAGGAACTATTCGTAGGCTCTATGCTCAGAAGTGGCCCCTGGCAGTGCTCAGGACATCATACGCAGTGCTGGGGACCAAACCAGGGTTGACCACATGCAAGAAAAATGACTTAAACACTGTACTATCTCTCTGGACACTTTTCTTAACTTTATTTTAATTAAAACATTTTTTTTGGTGTTTGGGCCACACCTGGCAGTGCTCAGGGCATATTCCTGGGTCTGTGCTAAGGGGGTCACTCCTGGCAGGCCTGTGGGACTATATGGGATGCTGGGGATTCAACCCAGACTGGCCCCTTGCAAGGCAAGTGCCTCCTTGCTGTACTCTAACTCTGGTCCTGCTGGGTAACTCTTTAAGCAGCTCCGTGGCCCATGCTGTGTGAGGTTCTCAGGTCATGAGAGAGCAGCATCCCTGGGCTGCCCTTCACCATCAATTCATGGTGCAGAGGCTGGGAGATGCTCAGAGGGCTGAGCTCAGCTTCGCATGTGGGAACCCAAGGTTTGATTGCTGGCATCCCTGAGCACCACTGGGAGTGACTCCTGAGCACAGAGCTGGAAGTAGCCCCCGGAGCACTGCTGGGTGTGGCCCCCAAATCCAAACCCAACAGACTAAATCTTGGTACAAATGGGTGTGATCTGGCAAAAGTGGAATGAATTGACTTCTTTATTTTGTTTTGGGTGCTCAGGGGTTACTCCTGGCTCTGTGCTCAGGGACACTGCTGGTAGGGCTTGGGGGACCGTATGGAGTGCTGGGGACTGAACCCGGGTAGGCTGCATGCCAGGCAAGTGTCCTACCCACTGAACTATCTCTTGGGCCCCAAGAATAAACGGATTTATGAAAATGTGTTTGCAGTTGAAAGGGTGCCGCGGTGATAGTGATGAGAGTCGTGTGTCCTCTTTGTCTCCAGGAAGCCTTGAGGTGTGCCCAAGCCCGCGGGTCATCCCACCCTCTCCGACCTGCGCCGAGAAGGAGCTGCCGTGGAAGAGTGGGCAGGGGGACTTGGCAGTCTACGTGTCCTCAGAGACTACCAAGATTGTACCTGTGGACATGCAGATGGGCTGGAACCAGAGTATCTCGTCCCTGGAGAGCCTGGCGTCCCCACCCTGTACCCAGGCCCCGACTCTGGCCCGCCTGCCTCCCCGGCCCCTGGCGGCTGAAGAGCCGCAGGCCTTGCCCGACCCGCCTTCCCAGCCGCCTTCCCAGCCACCGCCGAGTTTCGCCTTTCCCCCGAGCCTGGCCAAGGCGGGCCGCTCCCGCAGTGAGAGCAGCGCTGACCTCCCCCAGCAGCCCGAGCTGCAGCCCCTCATGGGACACGAGGACCACAGCCACCTCAGCCCGGGCACTGCCAACTCCCACTGGTGCATCCGCTTTAACAGAGGCGGCCGGCTGTAGCCCGGGGCCGGGGGAGTGTTCCCTGGGCAGTGGGCAGCTTGCCCAGACCGATGGCACTGGAAGGGTCTCCTGGGCGGGTCCTCCCAACCTTCTGTGAGGCCTGAACGCTCCTCTAAGCAGTGCTCAGAGCTGCTGCGGGCTGCATGGAGACGGGGAACAAGGCCCCTTCCCCAGGGAGTGCTCCTGGGGTCACTCTAGGCAGCTGTTCCTGACCCCAAAGCAAGGGGTCTCCTTCCTCTGGGCTTTCCTGGCCCACCTCCAGCTCAAGGACCTTCTGGGTACTGAGGCCGGCCGCATAAGTGCTGGTCCCCAGAGGGCCAGAGGCGGCCGGCGGGCCATGTTCTCCCGTCATGTATTAGGGAGGGGGAGTCTCCACGCCTTGCTTGTTCTCCTTCCCTGGGTTGCCAGTTTTGGGGGTGATTCCTCCTCTCCTAGGCCCGATGTCCTGGAGCTCAACCAGGGTCACTGCAGGGCACTGCTCAGTGTCCAAGCCGGATGTAGATTTGGAGAGAAGGGTGAGACAGCGGTCTCTTGGGCTCCTCCATTGTTGCCTGGAGACTCCCCAGGCTAGAATGGAAGTGGGAACTGGATGCCGGGCCTGGCTGAAGAAACCTACCCTCTCTGTTTTGTACCTTGAATCTAAGACGCAGTAAACTTCTCTCGGCTGGACAGGGCTGACTGCGTTCATGTGTCTTCAGGTTCTGCAGGGAGGGGAAGGGTGCAAGGTTTGTGCAGGGAAGGAAATGACCGTTTCCCTCAGCTGGACCCAGGCTTTCTAGGCTAAAGAACGGAGGGGGGATGTGTGGGAAGATGGTTAGGCCCTCTGGCCCCTCCTCACACCTCCCTTCAAGCTTCCCTGTTCTGAGCTCTTAGTGGGCCTAAGTCTGGGGATTACTGTGTGGGCACAGGGTCACAGAACCCGGGGTACACAAACTGGGGAAGGTTAGCAGAGAAAGAAAGGTCAGGAGCTAAGAAACGCCAAGATTAGCCACCTCACCTTGGGACCGAAAACACCATAACTCAGAACTGGCGGGGGGGCGGGCTTGGGCAGGGGGACAGAAGTGGGCGCATCCCAGGGGTGCTGTTCACCGGGGATGTCTGGCCTGAGACAGAGAGCTCAGATCTGGGTGGTCTGACATTCGACTCCCGACACCTAAAGTGAAAATTCAAGTTTCAAAATTAAAAACATCTGGGGCCAGAGTGATAGTACCATGGGTAGGGTGCTTGCCTTGACTGTGGCAGATCTGGGTTCGATCCCTGGCATCCCACATGGTCCCCCTGTGTACCTCCAGGAGTAATTCCTGAGCCCTGAGTGTAGAGCCAGGAGTTAATGCCTGAGCGTTGCTGGGTGTGGCTCAAAAAACAAAAACATGAAAAAAACATCTTTCTTGGGGCCAGGGAGATCGCTCCAAGAGCTGGAGTTCCTGCAAGGCAGGCACAAGGCCTGGAATTGGGTCCCTTACACTGCCTGAGTCCCTGACCACCTCCGGGGTGGCCCTGGTGAACCCTGCACCTCTGAGCCTGAGCACGGAGCCATCAGGCACGCACAGCTTGCTGGAGTGTCTGTAGGAGTGAGCCCTGGGCTATCCAGCACAGCTGGGGAGGCTGGGAGGAAAATCGTGAGCCATGATGCACATACCGTAAAATTCACCCGTTAAAAGGAAGAGTTCAGCTGTTTTCAATATACTCGCAGATGTGCAACTCTCACCACAACCATCTAAGTTTAGAAGGTTTTCGTCATCCCCCAGAGAAACCCGCTACCACTGGATGGCTCCTCATCCTGGCATGCGCAGCCTGAGGTCGTGCTAACCTACTTTTGACACCGTCAGTGACAAACTTAAAGAACATTCCCTGCTTCGTGTTCTGCCTGGGGGAATGGGAGCCGGGAGAGCAGCCTCGGCTCCCCCGCTCTGTTTGCAGCTGGCAGCAATAAGGACGAGATTCTCATACAGTGACTGTGCTCTGAGGTCTCATGGCCACTGCCACCTTATGGTGTTTGTTACCTACTCTCTCTGAGCCTCAGTTTGTCATCTCTAAAATGGGCTAACAACCTTCCTTCCTATTTGATCTGGCTGCCGTCAGGATTTAATGAGACAACTGAGCCAGGACTAGCCCCTGAGCATCACTGGGTATATAAAAAAACAAACAAACCTTGGCCCCAAAAGAGAGAATTCTGGCACAGAGTCAGCCCTGATGAGGATGGTGTGTCCTTGGTCTGGTAGCCAGGAAGTGCTATGGCCTGGAGAGAATGAGAGAGGGAGAGAGAGTATTGTGTGTGTATGTACATGCATGTGTGTGTGTGTGCGCATGCGGATGGGCTCAGATGGCATGGGCAAAGGTGGGTGAATGTATATCCAGTAGAAAATAGCAAGACTGACTGGAATATACACGGCAGAAAGCCAGGACCAACGAGTGGTAGGGAGAGACCAGCCAGAAGCACGGCAGCTTGGGTGCCAAGCCTCGGCCAGGTGTGGGTTTGTTTGTTTGTTATTTTGGGCCACACCCATCTGCTCTCGGGCTTACTCCTGGCTCCATGCTCAGAGATCATTCCTGGCAGGGCTCAAGGGACCCTATGTGGGGCTGGGGATCAAACCTGGGTCGACTGACAGGCAAGTCTCGGGTTCCCCAAATGCGTTTGTTTGTTTTTGGTCAGGTGTGGGGGCGGGGAAAGGGGTCCTGGGGGACCCTGAGAGGGGAGTGGCCATAAGGTGCTTCTGGGGCTCTGGTGCAGTGGTATCAGGGAAGAGGGCGGAGGTTGGGTCCCTAGAAAGACGGCTAGAAACGGAGGCCCTGCCACAGGGCCCCTGCGCCAGCTGAGGGAGGGGAACAGGGAGCATCATCCTCAGACCTCAGGGGTTGGGCTTCCCGGGGGGGCTGTCCGGGCTATCTTAGCTGCAGCCAGGCCTCATGGGAGGACGGGCCTGGACAGTGGGGGCTGCTCAGTGGGTCTTACAGCCTGCAGGAGAGCTGTGCAGGAAGCCAGGCGGCCCCTGGATATTCTGAAGCCACACTCTGGGGAGCCTGGGGTCACGGGGGTCAGAGGTGAGATGTGGGAAGGTTTGGGTGCTTGTCGCCACCCTGTATGGAGCAAGCCCCATGGAGGGAGGACTGAGTCTATGGCCCGTGAGCTCCAGGGCGCACTGAACCCCTATTTTATTATAATGCAACTGACTTATGTTATTCGGGCTGGTGAGCCGAGGGCGGGCCGGGCAGGGGGACGTTGTTGAGCAGATTCTGCAGTGGAGCCACAGAGCGGGGCCCATGAGTCACTGCTCGGTCCTGCCAGCTCAGCCCAGAGTCTCCTGCTGAGCTCAGCCATTCAGGCTGAATCCAGGCCCCAGGGCACACCCCCCCACAATTGTCCCCAGTCCCCCCCCCACACACCCCTTGGTGGCATTGGGGAATTGAACCCAGGGTCTTGCACATGCCAGTCACATCGTCTACCCCTGAGCGATGTCCCAGTGTCAACCCTGTTTGTTTCTTTGCATCCCGCACCCCACACTGACAGCAGCCCCGCTGTGCCTCTCAGCCTTTCCTGGGTAAAAAGCAGCAGACTGAGCCCCAAGTCCATTTCTGAGTGCCACTCTCTGGTTCTGGGGTACCGCAGGGGGCGGGCAGTGTGACTCAGTTCAGTCAGGTTGAATAAGTGTGGATGGGGTTCAGCGGTGGGTAGCACACGGTTGGTTTCCATGAAGCTTACCCGGCACATTTCTGTGTGGAAGGAACAAACCAGGGCGCTGCTCCGGAATCGTCTGCTGCCCGCGAGCGTGCCCAGAGGGGCTGGGGGTGGGCTGGGGTGAGCTCTGGCGCTTCAGGCGAAGCCTCCGACTTGCTTCTGACTCTGGAGGGGTACGTATGCCTGCCAGCGGGGCCCTCGGCACTGTGGGCTCTGGGGGGACTTGGCTGGTAGGAGAGGAGAGAGCAGGAGGAAGTGACTGGGGGTGAGGGGTGGGGCTGGGACAGTGCCGCGGGACAGTGTGTGAGAAGGCTCCTGGGGGAGCCAGCTGGGGAGTCTGGGTGCTGATGTGGCAGCTGGGGCTGGGGGTGCTGCTATTCTGGTGCTTGTTGCTCCTGATGCCCAGGGTCCCTCACAAAGGAGGTGCCTGTTCCAGCAGCAGAGTAGCCTGTACTCCCACTGTGCCACCTAACCCCCTCCCTGCCCCCACCCCCTGCCTAGGTGCGCACACACACACACACACACACACACACACACACACACAGCGCCAACGTTCCCCACATCTTCCCACCCATTTGGGGCTGTGTCTGGCCGGCGCTCACAGCTAATGATCACAGGTCACTAGTGTGACCCCTGACAGGGTGAAATGCAGGCAGGACACGCACACTGCCCAGAGCTGGCCTGAAAGGGGACACATGGGATTTCCCGATTCCAGGAGAAAGAAAGTACTTTCGTTGTTCACAGTTGAGGCTCCAAGAGAAGTGACTGCTGGAGTTCCCCCCAGGTATAGGGGTACGCTTGGGGGGGCATTAGGCTGGGCTGGGCTGGGGTGAGAGGGCTCTCTGGCTCTGGGAGGTGCCAGGAAGTCCCAGCTGCCCTGACAGGAATTGACCTGGGTAGGGTGGGGTGAGGGCTGGGGTGCATAAGTGACAGAAGTGCCAGGGTGCCCAAGGGAGTGGGGAGTGTCTATCCAGGACCGCATCCCCTGGGGTCTCCAAGGAAGACGAGGGCTTCCCTCTCTCACAAAGACATACACTCTGCCTCCCAGAATCCCTGGTCTAAGAAAGTCTCTTATCTGGAGCTGGAAGGATGAGCCCTCTTGGCCTTGCTGCGGGTGGCTGGGGTCAGACTCTCCTGCGCTGATCAAGAGTGAACCCCGCCCTTGGGGCTGGAGCGATAGCACAGCAGGTAGGGCGTTTGCCTTGCATGCGGCCGACCCGGGTTCGATTCCCAGCATCCCATATGGTCCCCTGAGCACTGCCAGGAGTAACTCCTGAGTGCAGAACCAGGAGTAACCCAAAAAGCAAGAAAAAAAAAAGTGAACCCCCCCCCGAGAGTTGGATGGGGTGGGGGGAGCAGAGCCACTCCCTTCCATTTCCCCAAATCGACCCTCACTCACCCTGGCTCACAGAGGGTGTCCCCAAGGCGGGGCCGTTCTTGGCACCACCCCGGAGGGCAGGCAGAGAAGCGCCAGGAGCGGACCGCGTGCGGGTTCCGGGCGCGGCCGGCAGGGGGCATCTCCGCGTTTTCTGGGCGCCGTCTGGCTGCGGGGTGCGCTGCGGCGGCGTCCTCCGGCCCGCAGGGGGCGGCGCGGCGCCTCTCCCCGCATTCGCTCCCCGCGGCCAGGAGGGGGCGCCCGAGGCCGGCGGCGTCGGCGGCGCGCGGTACCGGCCGTCGAGGTCGGCGTGCGCCGGGTTCGGGGGTTCCGGCGGCAGCGTGGGCGCCTGCGTTTCCTCCGTATCCCACGGCGGGTCCCGGGGCGCGGGAGTGAGTGCGGCGGGCAGGCGGGCGAGACCCCCGGCGAGGCGAGGCCTGGCTTGGCGGGCTCGGGCGCGAGCAGGGGGCAGCGGGTGTGGGTTCCGCGGGGGGGGGGGGGGGGGCCAAGGGGGTCAAGGGCGAGACCCCCCGCGCTTCTCCGCTCTCCGCAGGCGCCACCACACACCCTGTGCCGGAGGACCACGTCGGGCCGAGCCTTCGGCCTCTGGCCTACCACGACGTCTTCCGCCCTGAACCACAGGCCGACCACCTCCGGCCAGTTCCGGGCTGAGCTGTTCACCCTGATTCGCACTTGCCCTGAGCAGGCCCCACCTAGAAAGAGGGCATGATGGAAGGGCCCCTGGCGGATGGGGACGGGGGTGCGGGCCTGGACTGGCGTTTTGCAGCGTGCAGGGTGCAGAGTGATTGGCAGGAGGAGGAACCTGGTCCCCAGGGCCAGGTTGAGAACCCCAGTCCTTGGAGACCACCAGCAGAGGCAGCCTGTGGGGATGGGCTCCTGGGCAGTCCCCTGGAGGGGGCACTTCAGGCACCCCCAGGACAGGTGGCCGCAGATGGGTCAGGGGATGGGCCGAGGGACTCATTGGGGGGTCCCCCAGGTCAGTCAGAGGCCCCAGCCTCCTCTGGGGTGGAGAGCTGCCTGTGCCCCATGTCCTGCCTCGCATCTGACCCAGCTGTCCTGGTTCCTCTGGGCGTGGCCAGTGGCCCTGAACCTTCATCTGGGACATCGGAGCAGCCAGAGGCAGGTAAGGGAGGCTGGGCCATGAGGAGCCTTGGAAGGGAATGGGGCGCCAAGACTTGGGGCATGCTCCGAGCCTGCTCAGGCCCAGGTACAGATTGGGGTCCCTGGGTAGCTGGCCTGATGCAAAGGCGTTTCCCTTCCCAGAGCCCAGCCCATCGGGTCTCCCCAAGCCCACTGACAACCTCCTGGCCCAGGATCTCTGCTGGGAGCTGCTAGCCAGTGGCATGGCTGCCTTGCCAGGTAGCAGGGCGGCCTGGGGGTGCCGGGGGTGTCTTGATTGGGGGGTGCTCACGGTCTCCACCCCACAGGCACGCGGGATGCTGAAGGCCGGGCTGTGCTGCTTCTCTGCGCCCAGAGCCCAGCCTGGCTTCACCCCCAGTGTAGCACTCATGAGCTCCTCCGCCTCTTGCTCTACCTGAGAAGTATCCCCCGGTTGGTGGGGTGGAGGGAGAGTTGGATGGGGTGGGGGGAGCAGAGCCTGAACAGGGGGATGGCAGGGGCTTGGAGCCGGCCGCTAATACATAGTGTCCCTTTAGGCCCCAGGTGCAGGCTCTGGGACTGACGGTACTGGTGGACGCCCGCCTCTGTGCTCCCAGTGCCGTGCTCCTCCAGGGGCTCAGCCAGCTGCAAGTGAGTTCACGATCATAGCCTCCCCTGCACCCCCAAAACCACTGTCACTGTCCTCCCGTTGTTCATCGATTTTCTTCAGCGGGCCCAGTAACGTCTCCATTGTGAGACGTTACTGTGTGTGGCATATCGAGTACGTCACGGGTAGCTTGCCAGGCTTTGCCATGCGGGCCAGATACTCTCGGTAGCTTGCCGGGCTCTCCGAGAGGGGCAGAGGAATCGAACTTGGGTTGTCAAGGTTGGCCGCATGTAAGGCAAACGCCCTACCTGCTGTGCAATCGCTCCAGCCCCCCAAAACCACACGATTGTTTTCTGGAAGGGGCCACTTCTGCTCTGTGCTCAGGGGTCCCTCCGGGTGGTAGTCGGGGGATGATGAGGTGCTGAGACTCAAACCTGATCTCCCAATGCGGAGCATGCCCCCCAACCTGTCGAGTGACACCCCCACACCCAGTACCTTCTGTGTGGGGGTGGGGCTGAGCTCCGGTTCCTTGCAGGAAGCAGCCACAGGGGCCGTGCAGCGGGTGCTACTCATGGGAAAGCCACCGGAGAAGGTGCCTGCCGGGCTGCAGGTACTGGGCGTGGTGGCCAGGGGCGGGGGTTGGGTGCTTCCCCTCCCAGCAGCCACAGCACCCTCTTTCCCCACAGCTGGAGCTGCTCGGCACTCCGCAGAGTCTTCTGACCCACATCCCTGCCTCAGACTTGCCTGTGTCCTTGGGAGGAGGCCGGCCTTACTGCCACCGTGCCTGGCTGGACTTCCGGGTGGTCAGTGAGCTATAGGGGCTGACTCGCGTCCCAGGCGGGTGGGGCCATGCTGGGCAGGCACCAGGGCTGAGGAGCTGGGCCTTCCCTGGCCTGCCCTCACGCTGCCCCGCTCATGGCTTGCCCCCGCGTCCAGCGTCTGGAAGCCCTGCTGCAGAGCTGCCGGGCAGTCTGTGCCCTGCTCCACGGCGCCATTGAGAGCATGGAGGCTGTGCCACTGCCCGTGGAATCTGGGGTGAGCACCCTAACCCCTCCAGCCTCCTCCCCAGATGCTCCCTCATCTTCCCCCTCTTCTTCCCGAGCCGCCCCCACTGCCCGTGGGTCTTCACTGCAGGAAGCAGACGGGCTGCTTCAGCAGGCCCAGGTCCTGATGCGGCATGTGCTGGAGGCACCGTGTCTGGCCTGGCTGCAGTGCCAGGGGGGCTTGGAGCTGGCATGGCTGAAGCAGGGCGTCCCAGAGGTGACCCTGAGCCCAGACTACAGGTAGGTCAAAGCCCAGCTCGCAGGGCTGGTCCTGGCCCCTCATCGGTCATGCCAGGGATCACGTTTCTGGACTGGGATCCACTCGGGGTATTGTCATCCCAGGGTGGGACAGCATGAAGTGGAGCAAGCCCCCTAGCAGGGCTTTAAGAGCTTATGCCCTGCCCTAGGCCAGCAGTGGATGAGGCCGACCAGCTGTACAGCCGAGTGGACACGCTGCTGCACCGGCTGACGCTGCAGAGTAACGGGCGTATGCAGGCCTTGGAGACGGTGCAGACGCTGGCAGCCCAAGAGGACAGTCTGCACCAGGTGGGGCCTCTCCACCCTGGAGTCCTGCCCCTGATCTCGGGTGCGACCCCAACCCACCGCCGCCCTCCTTGCCCTTTGTGCCCCTCCAGATGGAAGTGTGGCTGCGGCAGGTGGGCTGGCCGGCGCTGGACGGGCCCAAGGAACCTTCACTGCAGATGCTGCTCCAGGCCCGTGCGGCCTTCCAGGAGCTGGATCAGGTCGCCCAGGTGAGGGCCATCACTTGTTCCTTCCACCAGGGTGGGGGAAAACAGATCTACTCGTCACTTTATTTTATCACTTGATTGGGGTGCTGGGGATCGAACTCGGGTCCTCCGCATTTAAGGCAGGAGCTCTAACATTGCTTTTTGTTTTGTTTTGGGGCCATACCTGGCGATGCTTAGGGCTTACTCTTGCCTTTGCACTCAGGGATTATTCCTGGGGGTGCTCGGGGGACCACATGGGATGCCGGGGATTGAACCCGGGTTGGCTGTGTGCAAGGCAGATGCCCTCCCTGCTGTACTGTTGCTCCGGCCCCAAGAACTCTGATGCTGAGCCATATCCTGAGGCCTTCTTTGCTCTGAGTTTGTAGTCCTGCAGAGAGGTCAGTTGTACTCAGTGGTTGAAGTCACGTGTCTTTGCCAAGGGAAGCAAGGGCTGTGAGAGAAGTGGTCCAGGCTTGTTCTGGATCAGCCCAACTAACCACAGGGCTGTGAGCGGCTTTCTGGAGAGTGACTTTTTTTTTTTCTTTTTGGGTCACACCCAGCAATGCACAGGGGTTACTCCGGGATCTTCACTCAGGAATCACTCCTGGTGGTGCTTAGGGGACCATATGGGGTGCTGGGAATCGAACCTGGGCTGGCCGTGTGCAAGGCAAATGCCCTACCTGCCTACCTGCTGTGCTATCGCTCTAGCCCCTGGAGAGTGACTTTTGAGCCAAGAGCTGATGTGAGGTCCCGGGAGAAGGTGGTGTCAGTGAGGTCCATTCTGAGGGTGTAAGTAGTATGTACAGAGATTCTGAGGCAGGAAGAAGCAAGGCTTGCCTGAGGAGCCCCAAGGACACGGAGGCTGAGAACTGACTGAAAGGGAGCTGGAGGGAGTGGGATGAGGCCGGGGGAGATGAGGCCAGAGCCAGGCTCAGGCATCACATGGATGAACCGGAGAGCTACCCAGGACCACCGAGGAACTTCCCAGTGATAGCTTGGGGGATGGGTGTGGTGACCCCTGGGAGAGTGATGGCGGGGCTCCAGTGGCTGAGGGAGGCAGATTGTCATGAGGGGATATTGTCTGTGGGTCTGTAAGAGAGCCTGAGTGGGGGACCGGAGTGATAGAACAGCGGGTAGGGCATTTGCCTTGCACATGGCTGACCTGGGTTCGATCCCTGGCATCCCATATGGTCCCCCAAGCACCTCCAGGAGTAATTCCTGAGTGCATGAACCAGAAGTAACCCCTGAACATCGCTGGGTGTGACCCAAAAAAGCAAAAAAACATTTTAAAAAAAGAGGGCCTGAGTGGGAGGGGTGAAAGGTCAAGGGCGGTTGTTCCTTGAGAGAAGAATCAGGTGTCCAGGGCCTTCAGGAAGGTGCTCTGTCTGTCAGCCCTTGGGTGTGCTTTGGAGGGGCCCATGTGGGACAGAAGGAAGCGATGCCTTGGGATCTCTGGAGTCAGACTGGACGTGGATGTGGGTGCGGGTAACATTTGATATGTGGCCACGTTGGGGCCAAAGGGGTAGTAGAGCAAGTAGGGTATTTGCCTTATATGCCGCAGACACAGGTTCAATCCCCGACATCCCATATGGTCTCATTGGTCTCATGAGCACCTCTAGGAGTAATGTCTGAGTGCAGAGCCAGGAGTAACCCCTGAGCATCGCTGGGTGTGACCCCAAAAAGCCAAAGTAAAGTAAACTATAATGAAACGTGATCACCTAAGGGTGCCTGAGGAGAGACAGGGATGGTGTTTTTTTTTTTTTTAATTATTAGTGAAACACCATGAGGTACAGTTGTAGATTTACAATTTTTTGTGCTTGGGTTTCTATTATACAATGATCAAATACCCATCCCTCCACCAGTGCCCATTTTCCACCACCATGGTTTTTATCCCTCCCACCCCCATCCCTCCCATCCCACCCTGCCTCTGTGGCAGGGCAAAGGGATGGTGTTTAACAGCACTGTGAGGGGCTGGAGAGATAGTACAGCGGTTAGGGCATTTGCCTTGCACGCGGCCAACCCAGGTTCGATTCCCAGCATCCCATATGGTCCCCTGAGCACCTTCAGGAGTAACTCCTGAGTGCAGAGCCAGGAGTAACCCCTGTACATCGCCAGGTGTGACCCAAAAAGCAAAAACAAAAACAAAACAGCGCTGTGAGGGATGGGGAATAAGAGGAACCCTTAGGGAAGGGGAAAAGGTTCTGAGGGAAGAGGGTGAAATGCAGGGAAGGGGAGGGGCGGGGGGAGCCATGGACTGAGCAGTGCTGTGGAGGAGGAGGAGGGGAGCTGGCTGCGAAGGGGTGCCCAGAGGGAAGGGGAACAGGGAAGAGAGGTGGTATGGGAGCTGTCCGCAGTCACACGGGTGGCCGGTGTGTGGGTGTCAGAGGAAGGCCCGGCTGCTGAGCCCGAGCTCTGTCCCCAGGAGCAGGTCAAGCAAGGGGAGAAGATGCTGCAGCCACTGGTGGGCTGGGAGGCCGCGGAGCTGGGGCCCCTGGGCACCCGCTTTCTGGCCCTGCGAGCGCAGCTCACGGAGTTCTCTGCGGCCCTGGCCCAGCAGCGGCAGCGACTGGAAAACGCCGAGAAGCTGTTGAGCTTCTTTGAGCAGGTGAGCAGGTCTGGGGGCGCCGGGTCCCAGGTGTCTGTGCGGGAGGAGGGTGACCACCCGGCGCTGCCACAGCCCAAGCTGCTTCTGCTGTCCCACCTCTTCCCTCTGCTTAGTCCGACCCCAGAGGCCAGCCCCAGGACTGAGCACCACAGCCAGCCCCCCGCGGGTGGGGATGAGTGGAGCAGAGCCCGGGGTCTCTGTGGAACCACCTGGGATGTTGCGTTGTGTTGCAGGCCTCGACCTGGGCTGAGGAGGGGCAGCGGGTTTTGGCGGAGTTGGAGCATGAGCGCCCTGGGTTGGTGCTCCAGCGGCTGCAGCTGCACTGGACCAAGCACCCTGACTTGCCTCCTGCCCACTTCCGAAAGATGTGGGCACTGGCCACGGCGCTGGGCTCCGAGGCGATCCGCCAGGAGTGCCGTGGGGCCTGGGCGCGGTGCCAGGATACCTGGCTAGCGCTGGACCAGAAGCTGGAGGCGGCCCTGAAGCTGCCGCGCTCGGAGAGTACCGCCAGCCTCTTTGCCCACCAGGGCCCCGTGGCCCCTGCTGCCCCTCCGCCGCTGAGGAAGGCCTACAGCCTGGACCGCAACCTAGGCCAGAGTCCCGGCAAGGCCGCGCACCACTGCCCCCCAGTGGCCACGGCGGGCGGTGCCCAGTTCGGGCATAGTCCTGCTATGCCCTTCCCACCAGGAGGTGCTGAGCCCAGGAGCGCCAACAGGTGTGAGCAGTGAGGAGAGGGGAGGGGGGCCAGAGGGCGAGAACAGGGCAGAGGCCTGAGGGTCTGAATCCACCTTCCTGATAGGCTCCAGCTGGTGCTGCTCGAGATGGTGGCTACTGAACGGGAGTATGTCCGCGCCCTCGACTACACCATGGACAACTACTTCCCTGAGCTGGACCGTCCTGATGTGCCCCAGGGCCTCCGCGGCCAGCGTGCCCATCTCTTTGGCAACCTGGAGAAGCTTCGGGACTTTCATCGCCACTTCTTCCTGCGGGAGCTGGAGGCCTGTGCCCGGCACCCGGCCCGGGTCGCGTACGCTTTCCTGCGCCACGTAAGGGGCCCCTCACCCCCACCCAGGCCAGGGGGGCCTCCGTGGGTATATATGCCCAGGCCCCATGTTGGGCACAGACAGAAACCAGCCAGGTCTCAACCCTTCTGTGTGCTCAGAGTGTAGCCAAGACCACCCGAAATTCAGGAAGGTCATTCCAGAAGTTCTCTGGGAGGAGAGTGGCCGGCTGGGAGGTGATGGAGAGGCTGCGGGGACAGCTCCTTCTGTGGGGGCTCTTAGGAATGTCTTGTTGAGCCGGAGTCAGGGTGGAAAGTTGGGGTGTACAGAGCTTGGGGTTCAGGTCTGGCGGCTGAGCTTCAGGAGTGTGTCCTTAGGGGGAGGCTGGGCTTTTCCCAGAGAGCGTAGGCAAGCCCCCCTCTGCATGGCACCCATCCTTGTCCACGCGCATTCGGAGCAGGGCAGATTGGATCTGGGGGAGGGGCCTGGACCCTGCCTCTCCAGCTCTGAGCCGCTGCCCGTCAGCAGAGGGTGCAATTTGGGATGTACGCGCTCTACAGCAAGAACAAGCCTCGGTCTGACGCCCTGATGACCAGCTACGGGCACGCCTTCTTCAAGGTAGGGGGAGGCTGAGACTGGGCTGAGGGGCAGCCCCGGGCAGTCCCCTGAGGGTCTCCTGGCCCTCTGGCAGGACAAGCAACAGGCGCTGGGGGACCACCTGGACTTGGCCTCCTACCTGCTGAAGCCCATCCAGCGCATGAGCAAGTACGCGCTGCTGCTGCAGGAGCTGGCGAGGGCCTGCGGGGGGCCCGGGCAGGAGCTGAGCGCCCTGCAGGCTGCCCAGAGCCTGGTGCGCTTCCAGCTGCGCCATGGCAATGATCTGCTGGCCATGGATGCCCTCCAGGGGTGTGACGTGAGTGCCCTGCACTGGGCGACGGTGGGTAGGGGGTCTTCTGCAGAGGGGAGGGAGCCGAAGGCTCCAGGCACCCACGGTGCCTCTCCCAGCCCTGCTCCATGCTCACTCGGCAGGTGAACCTCAAGGAGCAGGGCCAGTTGGTGCGGCAGGACGAGTTCACGGTGCGCTGCGGGCGCCACAAGTCTCTGCGCCGTGTTTTCCTCTTCGAGGACCTGCTGCTCTTTAGCAAGCCTCGCCGGGGTCCATCAGGCACCGACACGTTTGCCTACAAACGCTCCTTCAAGGTAGGTCTGCCCAGACCCCGTGGCCCCCGCGGCCCCTCCTCCCCAGCGCCTCACCATGCCCCTCTCCTGGTCACACAGATGGCAGACCTCGGCCTCACCGAGTGCTCTGGGGAGAGCAACCTGCGCTTTGAGATCTGGTTCCGTCGCCGCAAGGCCAGGGACACCTTCGTGCTGCAGGCGGCCAGCCTGGCCACCAAGCAGGCATGGACGGCTGACATTTCCCGTCTGCTCTGGAAGCAGGCGGTCCACAACAAAGGTGGGCACCGCCTGCCTCTCCCTCCATCTCATGACCCTGCCCCATGGAGGGGTCAGGCCCAGAGGGATGGAGGCTCGCGTGAGGGGTCTCACAACACCGCCAGCCGTGGGGGTCGTGGAGTGCGGTGGTGCCGCGCCCTGACTGTAGATGCAGTGTTCCCCTCTGGGCGGCAGGCGCCTCCCCTGCAGGAGGAAATTTTCCTATCCTTGGGTACTGTGGCAGAAGACGGGCTGTGACCCCCCTGGCCGTGGGGTTGCTGCGAAGCCAGGCCGGGTAGTGTGCTGGGGGTGGTGTTATCGGGAAAGTGCTCCAAGAGGCACAGCTCTGTCCACTCCCCACCCAGAGGTGCGCATGGCCGAGATGCTGTCCATGGGTGTGGGGAGCAAGGCCTTCTGGGACATCACTCCCAGTGAGGAAGCCATCAACAACCGCACCATCGATTACGTCCTGAAGAGTCGAGGTAGCAGGTGGGGTGGGAGGGGGTAGGACCCTGAGAAAATCTACGTGGGAGGCACCAGCCCCAGGGGACCCTGGCTTCTCCCTACCTCCACTTTTCCCCTGCAGACATTCGCTCACGGGCCTCCATTGCCGTGGCCCCGTTGGACTCGGACAGCCCCTACCTGGGGGCCTGCAGCCCCCTTCCCAGAGACCCTGCCTCTCGCTCGGTCCTGGGGCCCCTCAACCTGCACCTGCACCGAGACCCGGCGCTCCTGGGCCTGCGCTGGTCCCTGTGTGCCCCCAGCTTCCCAGAGGCTGTTGCCACGGCAGAGCTGGGCAGCCAGCCCTCTTTGAGTAGGTCTGGGCTTCACGGGTGGGTGTCCAGGGTGGGTGTTGGGGTCCCCGAGAGAACTGCTAATCTGTGTGTCGCCCTCCCCAGCAACTGAGGACTCTGAGGTCTTGTCCCAGTGCCCATCCGCCAGCGGTTCCAGTGGCTCGGACAGCAGCTGTGTATCGGGACAGGCCCTGGGCCGGGGTCTGGAGGACGCGACCTATGTGAGTTGCTCTGCCCTGGGTCGAGGCTGAGGGGGACTTGGGGTGGGCTGGGCCAGCCACTCCCCGGAGACCCACCCTGTACCCGAGTCAGGAGAGACTCTCATGCCAGCCTGGTCCCACAGGTCTGAGTGTGGCTGGAAGGCAGTGCCACTTGGGACACGCTGTCGCCACAGCCCCATGTATGACCAACTCTGCTGCCTCCTTTTCTTGTATCTGCCCAGTGGACAGAGGGCAGGTACCTCGCTGGGAACTCTGACTGCAGAATCGGCATGATTCGGGGCTCCTGGCTCTGTATTCTCTTCCCTCGGTCCTCTCTCCAGCTCCCACTCCCATGTGGGTTAGGATTAGGCCAAAGCTGGGGGATATTTCCAGACTCTAGGTTGGTGAGGCCCCAGGAAGCTCTGGCAGTGACGGGGCTGTGCCACCTCGCAGAAGCAACTGCTTCCCAGCAGCTGATCTCAACCAAGCTCCCCAAACTTAAAGGCAGCCCCCCTCATGGACTTTGCTCTTGCCTGTCCTGGCTCCCTAGGCCCAGCTCCTTCTTTTGGGGTCACCGTGGTTATGTGGCCTCAGTGCCATTTGTATAGCTTTCAGTTAACGTTGTTTGAAGTGTGGTCACTCACTTTCGTTAGTTTTGGCACCTCAGATGGGGAATTCAGGTACTTGCTTGTGGTTTACTCTTTATTGTTTGTAATAAAAAATAGACTGTTGTACACGCTTGGATGGGCATCTTCATTCTGGGGACATCCTTGGTTAACGGGTCTTGGCGGATGGGGGGTGCGAGGTTGGGGGGATGGCATCTCCGGGCACCTAGCCGTCTTGTAAGTACTTGCTCAGGATCGAGTAGGAGACAGATCTGGACAGGCCCCTCTGGATGAGCAGGTCCACACAGCGGCCATATTTCCTGGCGAAAGGCAGCGTGAGCTGGAAGGAAAGGCCCGACTTGTTGGTCTGCTGCCCAACCGACCTCTGCGTGGCCAGAGGCCTCTGGTGGCGGCTTCTGCCCAGAGGTGTCACTAGAGTTGTGGCTACCAGGGAACTGTGCAGAGGGACCGGAGGGTCAGAACCCAATATCTCCACCCACCAGTGTCCTGCCCTCCCTCCACAGATGCCACCCACTTTTCCACTCGGCGGGTGAGCCAGAGGCCTGGGTGACTTCGTCCTAATGAGCTTACGGGGAAAAGTACGGAGCACAGCACCCTTGATAACAGAAATACCAGACTAGTGAGAGATCGCAGAGATCTCCCCCGCATGTTGAGTTAAAATACTTTGAACCTGGAAGTACTTTAAGGAGTCAAAACCCCAAATCTCTGGGCCATTTCTTAGCCATGAATGAACATTTTCTTTGGGAAAAAGTGATTTAAAGAGGGAAAAAAATGTCTGGCTAAGTGGGTCAAGTTGGAATCAGCTGGTGAATCAGTCTTACCCTTCACAGTGGCTCCCCCAAAATTTCAGCACCCCCAAAAGCATGAGATTACCTGATGTGTTTCCCTGAAAAACTGTTAGTGATAAAGACAAAAATTTGGTATCCTTGAAGAAAATTTAAAAATCCAGGCCTGGGGCAGGAAAGATATAGAGCAGGCAGGGCACTTGTGTTGCATGTGACTGACCCAGGGTTCAATCCCCGGCACTGCATAAGGTTCTCCCAAGATTGCCAGGAGTAATTCCTGAGCACAGAGTCAGGAGTAAACCCTGAGCACCACTGGATTTGACCCCAAAACAAAACACCAAAACCACTGCTTTTGGACCAGCCTAATCCACTTCACCTCTGTTTCTCCCTCCCCGGAGAGAGGGCCCAAGGGTTCGCTGCCTTGTGACCTGACTGGCCAGTGGTCTGCAGGACAGTGAAGTGTCCCAGGGTTGCTCTGCCCTTTGGGTCAGCCGTCCTCACCTCCACCCAGCTATACAGGCGCTCCTGGGTGTGCCGGTCATCCTTGAAGCCCGCGATGGCCAGCAAATCCACCACAAACTGCTTGGGGCTGATGTTCAGGGTCTGCCCAGAGAGTGCATGGTCAGGCAGGTCTGGGGGCCACCCAAGGCCTGCGGAGCTGCGAAAGTTGGGCCTGTGGCTCCAGCATCACCCCTGCCCCATGATTCAGTCTAGATGTTTCCCCCTCTATCATCCTAGCCCAGCCCTTTTTGCCCCCCTTCTGCCCAGGACCGATTCCCCTTACCTCCCTAAGGGGCCGCAGGGCTCGCCCACCTACCCACAGCCGCTTGGCCAGGGACACCACTTTGGCCGTGATGGCCTTGGGGTCCTTTTGCCTGATAGAATCCAGAATGACGTCAGTCAGGAAGCAGTGACATTTCTGTGCGTAGAACATTTCTTCCCAAGACAGGGAGAAACTCAGGAAAGTCACCTCTGTGGGGAGAGTGGTATGGCTGTGTCTTGTGCAGCGATCCAGCCTGCAGTAGGGGCCACCTCCCGGGGGTGGGGGGGATGTCTTCCCAAAGGGCCCTTGCTTGGGTGCCAGTCACCTTGGGGCGGGGGGCTGGCCGAGGGCAGCATGTGCCTGAGGCTGTCCATCTGCGTCGTGTAGATGATGCTGTCTTCGAAGAACATGCAGGAGCCGTCGCTGCCCACCACAGGTGGGTGGGTCACTTTGAGGATGACGCCTGCACTGTCTGCCTCACTGGCCTCAGGCAGAGGATGCTCCGGGACAGGGTTTTCTGTGGGGACAGAGCAGAGGGCCTCACCCAGTCACCTGAACCCAAGCAGGCAGGGGGCCTCTGCTGACACTGACACTCATCCTGTCCCCCTAGCCTGCTGGCAGCTGCCACCTCCAGCTTCTGAAATTGTCCCAGCGCCTGTTCGTGCTCCCTTTGCTGCCCTGATTTGTTGCCAACATGACCCCTTTGCCAGTTCACCCAGTCCCTGGGGTGAACTGAGACTGGGATCAAATAGGGCTGAGAACCTGTTAGGGGCTGGAAATACCAGACACGTCTGGATTGAGGAGTTTGGAACACGACTTTGATGAATGTCCACCCTGAAGGGGACACCTACCCCCTGGCACACCAACTCGGGGCTCATGGCAGATGCTTACAAGAGGCCCATGTCATTGGAAGGGAAGGTGACTCTGGTGCCAGGGGATCCCACCCTTTGACAGTTCTCCAGGACCCTTTGCACCCCCCCCCCCCCATTCTGTCAAGCATGGCCCCCACAGCACCTCTCCTGGCCTCTCTGTCAGTTCCCTCAGTGTTTCCTCTCAGAGTCCTCCCCTCTTGTCCAGCCGCCTTAGTAATGGCCCTTCTAGACTCTTCTCTTCCCTGCTTCCTTCCTCTGCTGCCTCCGTTTCATCCAGAAGGTCCCCGGGGCTCCTCCAGCATCCCCTTCCCCTGCTGTACTTCCTGTGCTCCTGCCCGCCCAGCTGGTTACTGCTTCCTGGTTTCAAACACTTCCGTGGCTCCCAATTCCTCCTGGGGTTAGAAGTGCTGGGTCCTGAACTTGGCCTACAAGACTGTCCTCGTCACTTATATCTTTCTCAGCATTCCCTTCCCTGCTCTGTCCATCATTCCTGCACAGCCCAGCCCCAGTGAGACCGACCTGTGTTAGACGGCTACTTCCGCCAGTTCCTGGTGTCCATTGTGCGCCTGTGGTATCACAGGAGCTCTTTTTCCTAACGCTTGGTGTGGCCATTCTTGGGCCCTCGTCATGCTGGGTTGCCAGCCACGGCTGCTGGGGCTGGGAGTGGAGGGTTCTGGTCCCCCTCTCTCACCCTGACTCACAGCAGCCCTGGCCCAGGCCAGCCTTCCCTGTGAGAAAGGCAACTGGGGGCAGGGATGGCACAGGACTCACCTCTCTCCTTGGGCCGCTGTTTGACCCAGTCCTTCAGCGCCACAGCTCTTTTTGTGGGAAAGTATGGCTTAAAGGTTGGCTCGGGCCCCTTGTCTTTGGCGCCAGCTCCTGCCTGTCCCCCAGCCTCCTTCTCTGAGGCCGTGGAATGGCCTTTCCAGGAAGTTGAGATGCTGGGCTGGGAAATGGCCTCCCCTCCTGGGGGGAGCTGCAGGGAGGCCTCCTCCGCAGGGCTGTTCCGGGGCGCTGACAGTGGCTGGAATTCCCACTGTTTGCAGTTGACCATGTCCCATTCCCTCACGAGGGAGATGAGTTTTTGCATGGGGGTGACCGGAGGGTCCTTGGTTTCAGATTTCTGGGTGAGGTTGACACTGATGCATTTCTTCTTGGGGGGACTCTCAGGGTGAGGTCCCCAGTGCCGGGGGTTGGCACAGAGGCCTGGGCAGTGGGAGTATGTGCTGGGATTGCCAGCCCTCTTGGTCCCGCGGCACAGGGACATGGGGATGGGCCGGGAGTACTGCTCAGCCTCCTCCATCTGGCTGGGCCGGCCCAGGGTCCCCTTGGCCTTGCTCCATGGAGTTCTGTCACTGCACTCTGGGAAGTCCACAGGCATGCAGGCTGTGGTCTGAGGAAGGAGAGCACAGCAGCTCAGGGTATGAAGCAATTCCGCAGGGAGGCCCCCAAGGATCTACCAAAAGGGGGAGGGGGAAGAGTTCACTCGCTCACTTGGAACAATCCCTCCCCCCACGGGTTCAGTGCAGTTCTCCTGCGTTGCTCTAAAGTGACACAGTGCCAGATCCAGACATGTTTCCTGGCTCAGGACACTGGCACTGGGCAGCCCTGCTCTCGCTTTGTGTTCACATGCTCCTCAGCAGTGGAGGTTCTCTTCGAACCCGATGTGATCTCTTTAAGGCCACCAAACTCAAGGAAAAACCCGGGCGGGGAGGGCATACTTCTTTAGTGTCTCGGCTGAACTCCACCAGCGACCCTGGCCCTTCTGTCACCACGTGCAGCCTCCGAATGGGAAAAGCTTCTTCACCTTCTGAGTCTTTCTCTTGAGTCCAGGCCCTGCAAATGCCAAAAAGGGGGGCAATGGGAACCTCAGTGCAAGCTGCATTTTGTGTGTATGTTGGGGTGGGGGCACATCTGAAGGTGTCAGGGTTGCTGGCTCTGGGGTCCAAGCTGTGCTCAGGGGACACTATGCTGTTTTCCTAGGTGGCCACACAAGCAAGGCAAATGCTTTACTTCCTGTGCTATGCTGTCTCTGGTCTCCCAAGGTGCCTTTCTAGGAAGTTAAAACTGGAGGGAAGGAGAAGGGGCTTATTGGCTTAGGTCGATGGGCAATCCTGGGCCAAATTCCTCCCACCCCTAGGAACAGGATCTCCTGAGAGATGGTGCTCAGGGCACAATTCCCAAGAGATTCGTAAAGATCCAAATTCTCAAACCCAGGGCCTACAGCCGCACATCCTTACTTGTAGGCCTCACACTGGAGGAGAGCTTCGGAGAGGGATGGAATGTGGTATTCCTCCACCTCCTGGCAGAACAGCGGCCATTCCCTGCAACAGACAAGGAGCTCTTGAGCCGGGCAGCGCTGAGGGTGGACAGTGGAGGGTCACCCAGGTGAACAATGAGAGACCCTCCTTGGCATAGGCACCAACGCAGCTCTCTGCGGGAACCTGGTCATGCTGCTCTCCTGCATGCACTTACTTAAATTCTGATGGCAGAAACAGCTTCCCGAGTCGCAGAAAGTTGAGCACGTGCCGGAACATTTGGCCGTCGCCATGGATGAGGAGGGTCTGTCCGTAGGTGATCCAGTACACCCGCTGAGGGTTGGACAGCAGTTCTGGATACTGTAAGGAGTGGACACCAGGCTTGTGGTGCTGGTTCAGGGCCCCTGTTCTCTCGCTGTAGAACTAAAGCTTTGGGGTTGTCCCCTGCAGCAACAGGGAGTGCTGCTGGGAATAACGCACACAGAACGCCTCACTCTGCTCCGCTGCGTGCTTTGCTGAACCCTAGGACCATTCTCATTTGGAGCCCTGCTACAGGGTCTCTTCAACTAGGCCCCTCAAACCCCTGAGGCTCAGGGGACAGAGCAATAGCTCAGCGGGTAGGACTTTTGCCTTGCATGCGGCCTACCCGGGTTCGATTTCCAGCATCCCAGATGGTCCCCTGAACACCGCCAGGAATAATTCCTGAGTGCAGAGTCAGTAATAACCCTTGTGCATTGCAGAGTGTGATTCTCCGCCCCCCCCCCCCAAAAAAAAAAACATACTTCTGAGGCTCATCCCAGCAGGCTACTCCTGGGATAAGACCCCTTGGGCCATAGCCAAGGGATAAGGTTCTCATTCTGAGCAGAGGTCGGAGGGCAGGGGGCGGCTGGGGCACCCGCACCTTCAGCAGCGTCTGCAGGGTGGTGGCATACCAGTGGCTCCCAACATAAACTTTGACGATCTGCTGGGGGGAATACACAGTGATTTCTGCAGTCCATTCATCATCTAAAGAAACCGACAGAAAGGAACAGATTATTGCCAGAAGGAGGGGAAGGAGTGCATTAGGACCAAACTGCACTGCCCTGGGGTTTCCTGTGGAAACAGTATGAACCTCTACCATTAGGCCTCCCTGGGGCCTTGCATCTGGGGCTGTATACAGTGACAGCTTTGAGTGAGCTGGTATCCTGGGGCAGGGGGCGAGGTAAGCCCTCTGGATTTTCAGCCCCTCAAGGCTCCTCTCCCCCAACCCACCTTTCTCAGCAGCTGGGGAGATGTCCCTGTTTCCCTCTGGCCTCTAGCGAGTGTGTTCTGAACATGTGACTTTCCATGTGGTCACTTACACTGGGGCTCAGAGTCCCTTTCGTATATATGCTAAGGGCCTAGCAGGTGGCATAGGGCTAACTCTTACCAAATTGCCGTCTCCACTGGGGTCACTGTATCTGAGAACCAATTTCTAACAAAATTTCGGATGAGCGAAGGGCATGCCACTAGGTTATATAACCAAGAGGGAAGAAAGAGAAGGTTGTGAACTCCGTGAGGATCGGGCTCACTTGTGTGCATGCAGGGCCTATGCCTGTCCTATTCTGGTAGGTGTTCAGTACATGCTGAAGATTGCTGAGATACAGTAATGCTTAGACATGACCCTAAGGACAATGAATCAGAAATTATAGGCAACTATGGAAACAACAGAGGCTTCGGACTCAGATTCAAAGCCCAGCTTGACCCAACTCTAACTACTGTGATAAGTGACTGCCCTGGTCTGCCTGTTCCCCAGGAAGGCTGACTCAGAATCAGAGCAGGCATGTTGTGGGGAGCAGGGAAGCCCACACCGAACCAGTTGGTATCGCTTAAGTCTCTACTCTCCAGGTCGCTCGTGGGCTTGGGATGAGGAGGAGCAAAACGTGCCTGATTGCGTCCCCCCTCCATCTGGCCCTGAGTCCTGGCCAGTCTTCACCTTCCTCCCACACCCTCAAACTCGTCCTCCACCATGGGATTTACTGAGCACGTCCATGGGTGGCAGCGTCCGGGGCTCCAGGTGAGTCTTCAGGGCCACTTTCATGGGCTCGTAGGTAATATCTCTTTTGTCCAGGAAGGCACAGAGCTCATACACTTCGGAAATGGTCTCTGTCAGGGGAAGTCGGCAAGTCCCCAGCCAGTTCCTGTCCAGAACAAAGACCCACCACAGGTAACTGTGGTGACACCATGTCCCAAGGGCTGTTACCTCTGTGTCTGGAACCCACAACACAGGCTCAACCTTCTGCTTGTTCCTGTTCCTTCCTTTATTCATTTGCAACCTGGGGAGAGCCTATGGAAGGGTAAACTTGAACACACAGGCTCCCCCTTTGGAAGCTGAACTCGATCCATTTCAGCGAAGTTCTTGAAATCACCCAACTGGGAACCCCCAGTCAGAAGCCAGTTGGGGGCCTGGCCACTCCACCCCTTTTCCCCCAGGCATGTGCCCCAATTACTGCAGAAAACCCATGAGGGGTGGTCTTAGCCATAGCTGATGCTCTGTGTGACCAGGAAAAATATGGGGACTAAGAATGGGTTATTTCTGGGGTTCCCACATGACGGTATAGTACTGGGGTAGGTATACTGGAGTTGACAGGAATCTCTCCTTGGGGCACAATGACTTCTACCTTTAATTCTGGTCCCATGTGTTTTATGGTCCAAAGAGAGCGCTTTTCCTCAGAAACTCAATTTTCCCTTCCATAAAACAGACTGGGAAGGCATAGCTCTATATTATAGGGATGTTCTGTGCTTGTCTTTCAAGGTGAACACCTGTTCACACAGCCTCTGGGGAACGTCACTGGCCTTCCTTTGTGGGAAACTCCCCTACCTCTGACCACTTTGTGTACCCAGTAAGGGTCCCAAGGGTTTAGAAAAGAGAATGGGGGTGGGGCTTTGCATGGTGGGGATGCTAACACCCAGGGTGTCACCATGACATGCTCTCCTGAGGCTGTGCAGGGCTAAAATTGTCACAGCACACAGTGTTTGCAAATAGGAAAGTGCCTGAAGACAAGGAGCCTTGGAGAGACAGCTGCACCGGCACCCGCCCTCCTACTAAGGCCCTAGGCCAGTGGTGGGGGAGTGACTAAATGGTGGGGTGGTCTGAAGGATCCTCCTTTCCCACAGAGGCCCGTACTTGACATGCTGGAAGAGGACTCCATTGCCTGTGATATACAGCCGGCTTCCATCCAGCGTACTCTCTATGCGGAGCTGCCCCAGCGCCGAGTCGGGGTACTTGACAAGCAGCCCCAGAGCCATCATGTACAGCGGCTTCACGGACTCCAGGCCTGCAGCTCGGCTCCCCTTCCCAGGACTTGGGGATGAACATGAGGTTCGGGAACAGCTACCTGTGCAAGAGAGAAAGGTCTGGCCCCAACCTCCTCCCAGCCAGAGCTGAGAGGGAAGGGGGGGTCATTGTTCCTCCTACTGCCTTGTTCAGTACTAAAGTTTTTGTGGGAGGTTCTTTCCTTGCACAGCTCAAACGCTGGATCTCAAAACCACCAGGATATTTTTGGTGCTCTGTATTTTAGCAGTCAAATCAAATTCTGCTGAGGGTCGGAGCGGGGATGGAGCTCGGCTTGCCTTGCATGTGTGAAGCCCTGGGTTCCATCCCTGCACCGAAACCAAGCAACAAAACCCCAAAAAGGCATTTGCTGGGAGGTGGGTGCGTGTCAATGAGACATATTCAGAATTATCAGTGCCGTGACCCGCAAATGCTGTTGCATGAATCTGTCTCCCTGAGCTCCAGGCTCTGCTCTCACTCCCCCAGACAAAGATCAGGTACCAGGGCACAGGAGCAGAGGACTGTACAAGGCTCTCACATCAGCGCCTCTGGTCTTGGGAACACACACACACACACACACACGCACGCACGCACGCACGCACGCACGCACGCACGCACGCACATGCACTTTTCAGTCTGGGTGTTTGGGTTACTAGCCTCTGGGATGATCTTGTTCTCTTGCCCTGGACACCATGTACACAGTAGTCCACAGTTTCTGTCTCTGTGGCGACACTGGCTGCTAGGCAAGCTTCTGGGAGATTTTCTGGGTCATCTCCAGTCCTCAGAGCCAAAGGGGAAATGCTAGCCTCGCCTCACATTGCAGAAACTGTTCTGAGAGCTAGTGAAAAGGGCAAAGCTGAAGAGAGGCAGAGTTGGGATTGGAGGTGGCCTGTCCATCTCCCGGGCTCTGGAGTGGCCTCTCTTCACTGGGGTGCTTTAGAGAAGGTAACACTGGGCTTTGTGGGAGAGGGCTGCTTTCTTCCTTCCTTCCTTCCTTCCTTCCTTCCTTCCTTCCTTCCTTCCTTCCTCCCTCCCTCCCTCCCACCCTCCTTCCCTTCCTTCCTCTTTCCTCCTTCCTCCCAGCTTAAACACGTGCTGAATCGGCTTTTTTGTCCCTTCCATTGCTCTGAAGGAAAAGGTACCACTCGGAGGACCTTGGGGAAGGGTTTGAACCCTCACTGCCCTAGTGGGTGTGGGCTAGAGAGGGACAGACTTTTCCTTGGAATAAAGACCAGAACATCCTATAGTCAGGACTTATCAGGAGCACAAACAGGTACCGCAGCCTGGGCCCCGCACATGGGGTCAAGGTGATGGAGGGAAAGCTAGGCTAATAGAAGCACTTGTAGGGAACTTGCCCTAGCATTTCCTTCCAGGATCTGCTGGGCCTAGAAGAGGAAGGTGGGGAACAGCAGTGGATTGTGTGTATTCATAATTGCTCCCCACTTCTACAAGCAAGACAGACCTTCTCAATACCCCCTTAAGCCTGCTCTCTGCCCACCACTGTCCCCCAGGATATTCTGATCTGCTTTTCCAGGTGGGATTGTGCTATCCACAGATCACTGGGAGGCTCCACAGACTGAAGGCACAGGGAATTTCCAGGCTGAGATTCTCTTTTAAAATTCTAACTCAGTTGAGGTGAAGCAATAGTACAGCAGGTAGGGCATTTGCCTTGCATGCGGCCAACCCAGGTTCAATCCCTGACATCCCATATGTCCCCTGAGCACCGCCAGGAGTAATTCCTGAGTGCAGAGCCAAGAGTAACCCCGTAGCATCACTGAGTATGACCCAAAAAGAAAAAAAAATTCCAACTCAGCCAAAATAACACTTCTTTCACTCACTTCCATGGCCCAGAGTGAGTCTGGGAGGGGAAATGGTTATTCTAGGCTTTTTGAATTCAAGCCTGACTCCCCACTGGGGGAGAAAGGTAACGCTGTGCACATACCCATGTTCATCCTGTACACCCTGACAGCTTCTGTGAGCTCAGGGATTTCCAGGATTTCCACTTCCGCTTCCAACACGTCTATGTTGGAGAAATTATCCGGCAGGAAAATCTTCTGTGAGCGGAGAAAATTCACTTGAAAAGCAAAGGGAGGGGTCGGAGAGATAGTACGGTTGGCAAAGGGCTTGCCTTATATGCAGCCAATCCAGGTTTGATCCCCAGTACCATATAGGATCCCCCAATCTCCACCAGAGCCCCAAAACCAAAAATAAAAACTGAAGGAAATAACATGAATTAGTTGAAGAACAAAGACACCCCCAGAGTATCCCCCCTCCCCCAGCCCTGGCCTTGAGCAATCACCAATGAAGCGGAACTCGCTACACTCGCATTCAATCAGGGCCACTGTCTCTGCCAGCCACAGCAAGTTGTCTTCCGTCACCAGGCTTGGATACTTGGCCACTAGGTCTAGGGGCAGGAAACAGTAGTGCACTTCTTCTTCCGTGTCTAACAGTGGCGTGTCCATGAGCCCCAAAGGAGCCTTGTCATGCAGACCTGGACAACACGCAGAGAGAGGCCACCCTGGATCTCAGGGACCAGCAGAGCTCCCACTCACCCAACCACCCAGGGGAAAACTGGAGAGTTCCCCCAGAAAGAGTCCTTGTCAAGTGCCTCATCCCTGTCTCTCTTCAGGGATAACCCCAAGGTTTGGCAGGAATATGATGGGGAACAGGACATGCAAGTCTTATTTTTTCTGCAGTGAAAGCTAGTGGGACATGTTATGGTATTTTCACTTCTGTACTCAAAATCATTAAATCCTACGATTTATCCTTTGGGTTCTAATGAATCAAATCTGCCACTGCAACCCACAAACTAGATCCTCTGATGCACTTGGTGTCTCAACCTCTGCTGTCAGGCATTGCCCTCAGTGATCACTGGGGATGTGAGTGGCAAAGGGGACTGGAGGGGTAAGTGGCATCCCCAATATCAATGAGGGACAGGAGGATGCTCTCTAACCTGCCCACAGGCAGAATATCTGCAGGAAAGTGAAGGTGGACCCTGAGAGAACAGCTACCGGGAAGGCTACAGTACCAAAAAGGTTGACAGCAGTTGAGCAAACATGCCAAATTCATGAGAAATCAGGATGTTCTTGGCAGAGAGGCACTTCTGTGAGGGTGAGAATCAGGTAAACTGGTGGGGCTTCAGGAAGGAGCAGTTGGGGTCATACCGGTGAAGGCCGGACTCTTGATGGGGAATTCAGAAGGTTTGCTGATGCACTTCCACGTCCGCCAGTAGTTCAGAGATGCCCTCTCGGCCACAGGTATATCTGCAGGCCTCACACGCAGGTGGTGCTTCCCTTCTTTTAGATTGTCCAGAGTCTGTTAGACAGAGAAAGTGACTTCCTTGAAAATGGCTTTGTTTGTTTGGGGGCCATACCTGGTTGTGCTCAGGGCTTACTCCAGGCTGTGTACTCAGGGATCACTTCTGGTGGGCTCAGGGGACCATATGTGGTATTGGGATAGAACCCAGTTCTGTTGTGTGCACTGAGCTATTACTCTGCCCTGACTTGAAAATATTTAGCTTACCTACCCATCCTCAGGAAAAATGCCAGGAAAGACAGTATTGTGATTTGCTTTACTAAAGTGTTTTGAAATAAATGGAGTTGGGACCACAAAAAAAGTAATGTTTAGGACTATAAAATGACACAACGTTGTTAAAATCTCAATAATTATTTCTCCCTGGGGTTTTCAAACAATGTTTTGGGGTTATCTTACATATTATAAAAGGGCTGGAGCGATAGCACAGCGGGTAGGGTGTTCGCCTTACACGCGGCCAACATGGCCGACCCGAGTTCGATTCCTCCGCCCCTCTCGGAGAGCCCGGCAAGCTACCGAGAGTATTCGATATGCCAGACACAGTAACAACAAAGTCTCCAATGGAGACGTTACTGGGCCCGCTCGAGCAAATCGACGATCAACGGGAGGGCCTTTACTTACTTACTTACTATTATAAAGAGTAATTTGTAGTTAATGTTATAAACCTCCAAACCTGGGGCTTGTAATTCCTTTCCTTAGCTTCATGGGGCTCTCTCCTCTCTCTTTTAAAAATGTTCTAATATTATTATTTTTTGTTTTTGAGCCACATACAGTGCTCAGGAGTTCTGCTGGCTCTACATTCAGGAATCACTCCTGGTGGTATTCGAGGGAATGTATAATATGCTGAAGATCAAACACAGGCTGGTTGCATGCAAGGCAAGTGCCCTACCAGATGTACTATGTTTCTAGCACCTGTGGAACTTCTGTTTGAGCTCCTCCTAATCTCAGAGTAGTCTAAATAATGGGAGCACGGGAATAGTACCATCTTCAGGGCACTTTCATACACATTTGTTGATTTCCCCTGACACAGCTTTGTCACATAAATGAATGTTTGTTTTCACATCTTTCAGATGAGGCAGTTGAGATCACAGGGTTTATCACTTGTCCAAACAGTCTCCCAAGTCCAGTTTCTTTGCTTAAAGGAGATTACTAGGGTGGACTGAGGCTGTATTGAAGCACCCCAGCTAGGCAAGTCGTAGCTCAGAGCAAGGTAAGATGGGTGTCTTCCTTCACCCAGGAACCCATTTGCTCTCACAAGTCCCACGCAGGGTTTGGGGATGTAGCCTAAGTGGTAGATGACCAGCATATGTGAGACCTTGAGTTTGATCCCAGTACCACATGGCCCCTGAATACTGCTGGGTTTGGCCCTGGTGGGACCAGCAGAGACCCACAATGCTGGGTAACTGTTGTAGGGACTGCCTCTCCCCTATTTAAAAAAAGTCCCACACAGCAGGTAGATTACCATAACATTACCATGACATCAAGTTTGATTTTTCTGTCCTGTTTTTCCCCAAAATACATTTTTGAGATAGCTGGGACAGTAGTCCTTTATTTATTTACTTCATTTGGTTTTTGGTCCATATCTGGTGGTGCTCAAGGCTTACTCCTGGCTCTGCACTCAGGGATCACTCCTGGAGCAGCTCAGGAATTGAACCTGCGTCGGCTACATTCAAGGCAAGCACTCTGCCCACTGCCTGATCCAGCTCCTTACTTATTATTATTTTGTTTTGAGGCCACACTGGCTGTGCTAAGGGTTTACTCCTGATATTGTGTTCAGGGATCACTCCTGGCAAGTGCTTGATGGTTGTATGTGGTGCTGTTTATTTGAACTGTGTTCAGTTGTGTGCAAGTCCTTTCTGTATTATCTCTCCAATCCAACAGTGTCTAAAGACACCATATAGGGCTTAAGAGATGTCTCAAAGACCTGGAGTTTATGCTTTGCATACAAGAGGTATGAGTTTGATTCCTAGTCCTGCATGGTCCCCTGAGCACCACTGAAAGTTTTGTATTTTTTTAAATACACAGACACCATATTGATTAAGGGTTTTGTTGTTGTTTTTTAAAGAATTTCATAATGGGAAGAACACCTCAGACTTAGTATGAAATTATAAAAGATTCTGTTTCTAATTCCTAGCTATACAACGATGCTTTTGTGAAAATGCTCACGGGAATACTGAACTTGGTTTTTGTTGCTCTTTGTTTTGTTTTGAGGCCACATCAGGTGATGCCCAGATGTTACTCCTGGCTTTGTACTTGAGACCCTGTGGTTCTGTGGATGGAACCCAGGCTTCCAAATGTTAAGCCCACACAGGCCCCAAGGGAATCCTGAACTTTGAAAAGAGCCCTCTGGTGGCTATCACTGTAAACTGCACAAAGGTTAGTTTTGGCAGAGCGGGAACATTTCCTATGTGGTTTGTGAGAACCTTGTGGGATTGGCAAGGGTGAGTTTATAGAAAGTTCTTTCTGAGGCATCGTGAAATGGGAAAGAACATAGCTTGCACGCCAAAAGCATCTTACATTAATCTGAATAGAGCTGCAGCCTAGAGAGCTGGTAGCTGCACTCAAGCAGCTCCGCTTGGGAGAAAGCTGAGAAGAGACAGGAAATCCAACACTTTACATGGATCAAGCGAGGAAGCCTGAGGTTCTGGACAGGAATCCGGATACTCCTTCACTCTTTGCTGGCATTGCACACAGTGTCTGTCAAGCTGTCAACTCTCCTGATGTGAGAAATCAATGCCGGATGGTTTCTCTGAGGAAGTATTTGGCATAAGCAAAGAGGAATGAAAATGAAGTGCCAGAGGACTGGGAAGATAGCTCAGGGGCCTAGAATGCAAGTGTGCAGGCTAGGCCCCAAATCCGATCTCTGGTACCTTATGGCCCCTTAAGCCCCACTAGGGTTAGTCACCTCTGGCCCCTGACACTCCCGCCATCAGGTCTGCACAAGTGGTTGAGTATCACTGAGACTGATCCCTAGCCCCTTTAAGCACTGCTTGGAAGATGCCCCCACCAAAAGGAAGTGAAATTCTTGGCAGATAACTGAGTGGCTGGAATAGATCCATATTAGTGAATAGGGCAGTTTATTGAGTTATTGTGGGGGAACCAGAAGTGGCTTCAACACTACTGGAACCTTGAGCATTATTGGGAGTGGCCCCTTGGTATTTGTGCTGAAAAATGAACAATATAAGCTGATTGTGCATAGGAGAGACACACAGAGTAGGAGACAGTAGATAAAGATTTATATGTATTCACTGTTTTAAAGGTGGCTGTTTAAGGTATATGGGGCTGGAAGGGCTGAAGGAGATGAATCAAGAGGAGTCAGAGTAAAGGGGGCCAGAGAGATGGCTTAAAGGGCTGGAGCACATGCTCTGCACATGAGAGTCCTGAGTTTGATTCCTGGTACTACATGGTCTCTTTGAGTGACCCCCTAAAACAGCCGACGTAGGAGATACTGAGCATCACCAGTGGTTCTCAGCCCTCCCCCCCACCCCCAACATCCCCGAAAGACAGCTCCAAGGGTGTGTGCAGAGTAAGTAGGGATTTATCTCCATGTGGATTTAGGGCGTTTTTCTTGCAGGTGGCCAACCCAGGTTCGATTTCTCCATCCTTCTCAGAGAGCCTGGCAAGCTACCGAGAGTATTCCACCCTCACGGCAGAGCCTGGCAAGCTCCCCCTGGCGTATTCGATATGCCAAAAACAGTAAGAACAAGTCTAACAATGGAGACATTACTGGCCTGAGCAAATCCATGAACAACGGGAGGACAGTGCTACAGTGGACAGTGCTACATAGTCCCTTAGAGCAAGCCTTGAGCTTCTGACTGAGAGTAGCTCCCGAGAACTGCCAGGTATTATCCCAGAAACAAAAAAATAAAGTGGAGAACTGTAAGTCAGTTGGACTGTGAGTTGGATTTATTCCCTGGGCAGGAGAAAGATGCTGAGGGCTCTTTTGGCTTGATTTTAGGCCATGTCTGGAGGTATGAGCAGAGATTGCTCCTGTCTTTAAGCTTAGGGATCACTCATGGCAGTTCTTGAGGACCTTATCTGGTGCTGGGGATAGAAGACAGGTCAGCCACATTCAAGGCAAGTCCCTTACTCTTTACTATATTTCTGGCCTTAGATAATTATTTCCCCCTTCTCAGGGGTAAGATCCCGAGCTACCGCATCTCCTACCGTTCTTTCTGTTCTTACAAAACTCCAAATCTCCACTAAACCCTAGTGATGCCATTTGTGCCTTCTCTCTATTTTATGTGTGCTGTTTCCTCTACCCAAAGGACTTCTTTACTCCCTTCTCTGCTAGAAGAGCCTGGAGGATCCCCCATCCAGAGCAACTCATCCTCCTTGCCTGTTTCCTCAGATCTCACAAACGTTTCAATCCAGCTGCGGGTTCAGACTCCAGTCCACTTTTCTGTTTCACCCAGCTCCTGAAGGAGGGTCTGGGTTGATGCTTCCTTCACTTCTAATCTAGAGTCCTGTGGATTCAACTGTTGTGCAAATTCTACTGTTGAGAGAGAAGGTCGGAACAGGCAAACTCTCGAAGTAGAAAAGCATGTGGGACACCTCATATGTTCAAAAGAAGCCTAAAAGGAGCCAGCACAATAGTTATCTTTCTGGAGAAGGACAGAGAAAGGTCAGTCCTTTCCAGACACTAGAAACTTATGCCCACAGTATATGACACCCTTGACCTCTGTGCACAGACTGAGGGTCCACAGCCCCTGAAGCCACACTGGACTGTGTTGGCTTGGTTTACCCCAGTCTCATGAGGACAAAAGAGATCTTTCCCACTGTAGAAATTGTATACATAAATATATTTATATCAGCCATTCTCAGTAAACATTATTACTGCAAAATGATGGCAGCCCCTGGGAATAAGGGGAAGAAAGGTGAAAGATGCAGAATATCAGCAAGGGGTTAGAATGGCTGGGGCCCAGAGAGGTCAGAGGGCAGTGAAGATGAATTCCAACCAGGGTTCTGAGTCCAGAGGGAAGATGATCTTTGGGAGAGGGAGA